GTATAATATCACACGGGCAATACTGTACGGACATTCGCGCCGAAGTTAAGAAAGGTTCTGAAAAAAACTAGAACAGCCGACGGACATCAATCACGCGTCGTGCGTTCAGTACTCGTGACGATTATTCACGCCGGCTGGGGTGGCCCCCGGCGAATTTCATCGGCCGTTACGTTGGGCTAGAGAAGTTGATCGCCGAGGGCACGGGGCGAATTCCCGGCGGGCTTTCCGGGCGAACCGAAGATGATCGAAGACACCGCGCCGTTGCCACGCGGCCCCGGTCGCCTCAGAAGAAGCAGCGGTGTTTTTAAAACATCAAGGTAGCGTGACGTGCACTTGTTACCAAGGCCTGCGCATTGCGATTTGTAAATACTATTTTGTAAAGTGTGTTCTGCTGATTATTAAAATATTTAGATGTGCAAAAGGAATTTTAACGATTATCTTCCAATGCTGCGCCAAATTCCTGGAGACCATTCACGAAAATGTACCTGTCCCTTGCGATAAATTTCAATTTGTCGTGAAAGTAACGCTTGTCGGTACGTCACAATATATATATATTTATATATATATATATAGTATTATATACCTTATCATATATATATCTTTCTATACTATATACTATATATACCACACTATATATCCGGTGGTGTGTATGTATGTATATCGGTCTTATGTCGGTATGTTGTGTTTTCCATTAAAAACACTACTTTTTTACTCTAGCCGGAAACAACTACAGATGCGAGAGCGTAGGCTTCCGCTGCGGCAGTCAGTATTTGGCCCCGTCCTTGGCACAGGTACCAGCGTTTCAGCTGCCTTTCTGTGATCTTCCTCCTGGAGGAAGATCGCCTAGGACGCGAAGCCTACCGCCCAAACTAAAAATGCTTTAGTTTTTTTTCAACTGTTGCCCATCAATTGAGAAAATATGAAAAAAATCACAAATGTTCTGAGAGAAAAAATTTCTTTGTGCCTGGCCCGGTGTTCTAAGACACAGTTCTTGTAAATCCAGGACCAACCTCCTCCCATTCATTTCGCCACATGTTCCCCATTTACCCTTCACCTGTCTTTCCTTAGCGTATGATATACTAATTTCAAAGTTAGAAGCTTTAGTTTCTAGGTTAGAAAGCTTTAAAAACATGAAAACTTGTTGCACATAATGTCAAAATATAACTGGGTGCTACAACAATTATACAAATGTATAATAAACTTTGAAATAAATCCATAAAACTGTTGCAGACATTTTCAAAGTATATTTAAAGTCAAGGTGTATTCAAGTCTGGAAAATGGTAAAAATGGATTTTGTTCTTTTAACTGCATTCAGGCAATCGAAAAAAATCCTAAATAGATTCATTGAATTGGATTGAACTGAAATTCATTGCGTTTGAATTTGGAGAAAATTTAAAAAAATGTTTTTCTGATAGTGCGAATTATTTTATTATTTTCCATATCGTTTTCAATCGGTTAACATAGCGTTAAGTTGACGAATATAACACGTTTTTGGCTGTAGAAGTGTGTGGGTGGTAGGACGGAGGCTTAGAAACCTTTCAATAATATTATTTTTTATGTTAGAGCTATAGTGTAACGACTCACATGTCATTTGGTTGAGGGGAACTTTTTACCATCTTATTCGGGGGTGTCCTTTAAAATTTGGAGTCGTTTCTGAGAAAATTTTGGAAATGTCCAAGGGGCTTCATGTAAAGAACCCCACAATTTTGAAGAATGTTTTTCAATATCGCAGCGCCACAAGTAGAGCCAGATCGATTGGGGAATATCCATACTGGAAGAAATCGTACTATGGTTTAGGCGCTAGTGGTGTTCACAGACGAACGGGCAGGCGGACGGACGTTTAGAAAGAAAAAATCTTTTTCAGTATCAGGGGATCCCAAAACATGTATTTTCGTTGAAATCTTGTAATCGATTTTCCGCAGCATTACATAACTTTCTCTGTACTACGTATATACTTCGTGTATAAATAAGTATACGAGAAAGTAAGTAGTAGTGCTTCAGAATTGCACAGACTTTACCGTATTAGTTTTCTATTTCCCTTGGTCTCGGCTAGCTATTCGGACGTGCCACATACTCCTGGCAGCTGCCATCTATTGTCGCACAAAGAACATTATTTTGAAATTTTCTATTTTTTTCGCTTTCCTAATAGTAGAACGGAATTATTATTTTAAGAACACTAAAGACAGTAAAATTTCGTCCTACATGGCAATAACTTTGAAAAATTTGGGGCCGTTTTTAAGAAAATTGCGTTTAAGCGCTATTGGTAATTCGAAATTTGAAGCTATTTTTCACGAAAAAATTTAATTTTCGAAAACCTTCATAGAAGTCATTCTGAGAACTCACAAATACAATAGCGTTTACAAATTGCTAGTAATGTGCATGTGGAATCTTTAAAAGCAATCACATTTGTGAAATTTTTGAAAAAACAAAAAATACCTCGAAATGAACTTAACGCCATTAAAGAGTGCAATTAGCACTATCAGTTCGAAAAGTTTGAAGAAAAAATTGGGAGCTATTTTTTAGGAGAAGATTTTTGAGGATTTCTGAAATTGCGGAATTTTGAGCTACTTTTCACAGAAAATCTTTGAGTTTTCGAGAAACTTTATATGACCACATGCACTCATAAATGTAATAATGTGAAGAAATTGACGCTAATATAAATATTCACAACGTGAGAGACAAGTCAAAAAATTACATTTTTGAATTTTTTGAAAAAACAAGACTAGAGCAATACAGCGTGCGCGAAAACGACTAAAATGTTTAAAAAATGTACATGACCTTAATGAAAGAACTCATTATAGAGAACAAATTTGATTTGAAGGAAAAATCTCTATCTTAAATTTTGTAGTTGTAGGAACCCGCCCGAAAATTTTGAAATTGTCACATATTTTACAATGTTGTAGGAAGACATCGAAATAATTGCACTTTTACCATTTTTGAAACATCAGACTTGCACCATTCTCTTAAGCGTCATTTACGCTATTCGAGGACAAAGTTTAATAAAAAAAAATTGGATCCATTTTCGAGAAAATTTTGAAAATGTTCTTGAGGTTTCATGTAAAGTACTCTCAAAAACCAAAATATCCGCTTGAAACTCCCAGAGCCTCAAGTTCGTTCAGATCAAACGGGGAATATCAATATTGGAGAAAATCGGCTGAACGGTTTAGGCGTTGACCACAAACGTTTTTCCATCAAACCATTTGTCTCTAACAAGGACCCACAAAACATGGATTCTGGCAACACCACGTGTTTGAAGAAGTAATTTACTATCTATAGCAACAGTATTTATCCACTTTTTCGTTACCAGGGTCCGGCAATAAGAGTTTTTCTGCCGAAAATTCGCAGTTTTCCGGCGCACGATTACATAACTATCACTTCTTACGAAGTAAGAGCGAAGGTGAAAGCAGTCTAGATTCATTGTTTCCTTAGTATATGAGTGCCCTTCTCAGTGCTGGCGATTAGCCCTACACACGTGTAAAGAACAAAAAAATACCAATCCATTTTCAATGATGTCATTACAAGATTCCTGAGGGAGTTCACAGTAGCATTTCGATGTCAGCGTCGCGAATAAAACAAATTTGTAGCCATATCGGGGGGTTATGTGGAATCTAGATAATAAAAATTGATTGTTTCCTTATGCGTATGTTCTAATGCAAATTTTAAAGTTAGAATAAAAATGTAAATTGTTTAAATTATTATTTTTTTACAATGATTCCTCTTATATGAGAATTTTTATTCTTTATAGGCTTGCACACCTATTTTAGTGAGAATAACTGCCTTTTGCATGCCTATTTTAGTAAAAATAAATACATTTTTGCCTGCCTATTATACATAACATAAGTTCCTGAATTTCTGGACTCTAGTTATAAGGAACCAGTACTAGGCTAATTTCCAAATCTTAGCCAAAAGTTTGTAGGATTCCTGTTCCTCACTAAGCCAAGCACCTATCTAGATTCAGCTACAAATTAAATAGGAAATACTTCCGTTCCCTAGCCACAGTTTACCAAAAACAGTCAAATACTCATCAACCCTCCTCCTAATCCAAAAATACTCAAATCTAACTTACATAAAGTCTGATTCAGAACACTCTACAATGGAACATTGATAAGGGAAATGATGGTCAAGGAAAAATGATATATTAGAATGGCCATTGAAGAAAAAGTCAAAATAATCAGAATATATAAATTCATTATGTATTCCGAATGAGTAGGAATTATGGACCAAACATAATAGATTTCAAGTTTACCAACATCTAACAAATGTACATTTAAAAATATTTAATTTGTCAGCATATCGGACATCACATTAAATAATAAAAATAATCTATACATCAACATACACAAACCACCTCAGGATCTTTTTCATATACTTCAACAAACCAAATAAATTTGTGGTACACTGATGTATGAAATATTGGCACTACAAGGCAATAACATATTTACAATAGATAAAATACAAAATATAAAGTATATGTATAAATACAAGTACATATAATAACAGTGTTTAGGTAAAAAGATACAATTTCAATAGTCACTGAACATGGCACAATATCTTGTAAACAGCATACTTCGCACAACAGCAAGTAAATGAAACCAAAAATCGGAGCCAAAAGTTACTCAAGACTGAAACATCTCCACTGTGTTTTCCGAATCAATGAACTTCCTTTCATTACTATTTCTTTAATTTCTTTATCAATTTCAGTTTTTCTTGGCCATGCCATGAACATTGTTAAAACTATTCTTAAATCAGATGCTATTTGAGCTGACCTTCATCTTCATTCTACAAATAAGGGCTACATCAACTTATTGTCATGAAGGAAATTCACATCTACAATAAATATATACTGTGCAGTAGCTTATGCTACTGCACAGTATATATTTATTGTAGATGAAATGAATGAGATGAAATGTAGATGAAATGAATGCGGGTCCGCCTGCAAAAGATTTATCCAGGGCCCCTTTATAAAAAAGGGGATAGCAAACACAAGTAGTGTTCGTATCTTAAATAATAAAAATATCCCCCCAAAACGAGCCCTCTTTTACCCGGGCTTGCCCACATTGTGGGCAAATGAAAAACAAGAAATTTGAACATGCTATGTACTTTACACACTACTTCAATAAGGTGGGGAGGGTTAACTTTTGAACTATTTCAAAATTTTATAATAATGTCATGTAGTGTAATCAGAGACACAATCATATTTTTCAAGAGGATAAAAGAATCTCAAAATAAAATATTATATGTTAAAATGTAAGGGTTGAAGAAGGATTTAAAGCAGGCATGATTTCTGAAATACTCTCATGAATATGCTACAAATGCTAGTCACAAATCCTAGTACTGGAAGCATGGGTGTAAATGCTAGGAGAGTTGGGGGAACTCATACCACCCAATACTTCATATTTTATGGAGTATATTTGAGGGTTCTCCAAAATAATATATTGAACTGTTCCCATCAATAATTTGGTGCTGGTGATGACAAACTATATTATTCTTAAATCTACATTATTCTGACTAGCCAGCAATTAGGATTTGATCTCATTTGATGAATATGATGGTTTGTAAATGTTGGAAGAATGAAAATAGGATTCTTTATTTTCAGCATCATACAAATTACACTTGGACTTTAATATGGTTAAGTAAATTGTGAAATCATTTCCACTATTACTGATTATTTTGTAATCAAATTGAAAGGCAATGGTTGATGGCTTCACATAGGTATTTTTCTTAGCGTTTTGATGGATGTTCTAAGACACAGTACATAGTACATAAAATAGTAAAATTGCTTTAGGCCCAAGAGGTTGTTTAGATCAAACATTTTAGGGGACCAAAATTCAATATTTTTTATCTAATTACGACATATTCCATATGACCCCAAAATAATTTCCCAAATCCCTCATCAATGGCCATCAAAAACGGTTTTAAAATATTTTCAATTACCAGAAAATAAAATCAACTGCCATTTATTATTGTCCGAGAGGTCTCATTCTGTTTCCATTAATTATTTATACCCCATATCAAGGAGTAATTCAACACAAACACTGAACATATACATAAATGCGCATACATATATTACGTACGTACATGGTTACACACACACAAGCGCGCGCGCACGCACGCACGCACGCACGCACGCACGCACGCACGCACACACACACACACACACACACACACATGTGCACACCGACACACACACACACACACACTATACTAATGATTTCCATTTAAAGACATTAATTATGATATGACTAGATTATTTTAAAGTATATGAAACTGATCTTGGGGATGTGCATTGAGCAATTAGTTAACTAAGTAAATGAGATACATAAGGCACTTGATACAGGTGTTTTAGACAATGTATAATGACAGAGCCAGTGATAGAAAAAACATATTTACATAACACACCAATCACTATCACCAGGATAAAACTGAATATACTTCTCTACATTCGTGCTATGTATAATTTTTATCAACTTTACAGTCCCATATTAATTTGCAAGCTACATTACAATGTAGAAATGTAAACACATATTTACTTAATGCATAAATGGAATGTTTCTTAAGTGTTTACAGAATTCTTTTTTAAAGACTTTAGTACACAAATTGGTTCATAAAATGTACACTTCAAGACAAATGAGAAAAAGCAAGGTAAAAATCCATTCTGGATACAAACATGTTTTAAATGGAGTAGCATTTACCTATGGGTTTTATGCAATAAATGACTCCTGTTTATGTAAAATATCTCTTACACAAGGCACTATTTAGCAATAAGTTTTATGTATGAAATAATCAAATGAGGGAAATAACATGGTTTTTCTAAAAATTGTAAATGAAACTGTTGAATTAACTCCTTCTGCAGTGCATAATTCAGATATACTAAATTTAAGGTTTTTTTGATAATATAAAAGGCATTTTTGATTAATGAACTAAAAAGATCTGTTTCTACAACATGAAGTACACTGTGAGATAATATGAAAATTAAACTGAATTTTAGACTGTTAAATGACAACAAAAAGTTTCAAAGTTCGCATATTTATTCTCTATTACTCCTCACTTAGATACTTTTAAAAAAAATTAAAATAATTCATGAGCATGTTTCCTGTCTCTTGATCAGAAATCTAAAAATATTCATTTTACAAGAAAAGAAATAAATTGCTGGCACATGTACAGATAAAACGACAGTATAAGTTAATACATTACAAGTATTTGATTTCAGTTGATTATATAAAATCTAATACTGAAGTTTCTATAGCAATTGCAAATTTCTGACCAAAACTTATCTCTACAATCCAGTATTCATTTGATTATTTCAATGAATATATTTCAGAAAGTTCTTGAGTTACACTCAGCACATAATATTATTTCCATTCTTTAAAACATGTTTGTCTATTATTTTACTACTTAACAATTTACCCTGGTATTTCTTGTTTGGAAGTAAAATACTTATCAAAAAAGTATTTCAGAAGAATTATCACAAAATACATAGTTTTCTCACTGCTTTTCAACCATCACTGACAGACATCAAAATGTCTATCCACTAGTCTTAGGATTTCACATGCTTCCTATTTTTTTTAAACTATCACAACATAATTTTGAGTCAATGTCTGGAAAAATTTTATTTTTATTTTGTTTATAAAGGTTGCAGAGAGAAAATGATATAAAGAGATAAAAAGAAATCTATCTCACAATGGGCACCTGGTTTAAAAACGTTCATTTGAAACCTACATTATTTGAATCTTATCAAATTATGTCCAGACATCAGTATACTCCAAAGCTTTGTACTCCTAACACAAGTATTAAAAAGTTAGTGATTTGTTGCCTATTAAAGTATAATAGTTAATAAATAATTATTTGAGGGATAACAAATACATACTTGAGTATTTACTACAAAGCTATCTTTCAAGCCTTGGGAAAAAGTACAATTAACAAAAATATAAATTCACATGTATTTAATTACTTAAATATAGTTGCCTTTTAGCATCTCTTTGAGAGTTTCTGAATAATAGTTCAACCTTTTAAGAATAATTATATTGCATAATAACAGTGATTGATCAATAAACATCAACTTTATCCACGTATTACTCTGGTACCTACTTAATGCAAATCTATATTTCAAATGGCATTCCATTCACATCTCCATATTTTGACACATTACAAACTCACTACGTGGTTTCATGTGACTCATGTTTATGATTCATTCAGTCTTTCCCAATTAAAGCAATTAAAATATTAATAAAAAGTAAATCAAATGCTATAGAATTGGTCATTATATTGGTTTATATATGTTAACTTGAAGGCTCATATTTTAACAAATTCTAGCATGCGAGTCAATTGTGCAACATTCATGCAAATTTTTACATCCCCACACAATCTCAAAACAACTACAACTGTAACTGTAGAAAAAGCAGTGCATTTTTGAAATTTCTCAAAATACTCACTTTCATTCATTTAATTAAAATGGCACTGCAGCTTCTTTGGAGCCTAAATCTGTCTTTAGTGTATTTTAAAACACTAAAACTCAACACTACAAAGAGTGTCAACACAATATAACTTGGTTTTCATATGCAATGGACCCAAATTAATTCAACATGGAATAATTTTAAGAGAAGCTTTTTCCTCCTTGAAGCCGTCATTTAATCCCACACAAAAATGCATGTATAATTAAAATTTTTTAAGGCCACATTTGGGCATAACTTTACTGTTGTTAACACTTAAAGAAAAAAGATGCACAGCATTGGATAAAATCTTTAGAAAGAGAAACATAAGACTAAAGAATGTAAGATTCTATTAAATGTTCCCAAAATATGATACAATTAGGACCCCTGAGAGTTTTAATTAAAAAGAGTCCATTGTATAACCAATACTTTGCAAATGTATTGACATGTTTTATACTTATATTCATAATAATAATAATAATAATTATAATAATTATAATAATAATAATAATAATAATAATTATAATAATAATAATAATAATAATAATAATAATAATAATAATAATAATAATAATAATAATAATAATAAATTTCAATTACAAAACATTTACAATGAAATAGTAATAGAAATACTTAAAAATATCATCCTTATCATTAATTGTAGTCTAAATTAATTTTATCCTGTCTTAAATTTTAATTTACTTATTTCTTTTCTATAATGGCTGCACATGGATAGCAACTACGATTAAGACTATCCTCTGTGTGCACAAAATTCACATGGCCCACATTCTACAAAGCTTTAATGATGTCACACTGTTCTTTGATGTCTACTTATCCTCTTCTTCAAAGGCACATTTTCAATGATGAAGTTTGACTTTTAACCCATAATATATCACGAGAAGGAAATTCAATTTAGAATTAATAGGAGAAATCTTAGATAGAGATAAAAAATTGGAATAAGACACACTATCATAATGCCTAAGTTCAGTGATAGAAATTCTGTTGAAATGTAGTATCAAAAGATTCATTAAGAAAGGACATGCTTCTAATGTCAAGTTTGAAATAAAATAATACTCAGAATAAATGAACACAATGACGTGAAAGATCTTGTCACTCTTACACCTGATGTCTACTGACGAACAGTCTTTACTTCTCATTAATTACCTCACTATGTTCTTGCCACACCTTGAAGTATTTTCTTTACTTTGTCAAGTTATCTTCACTGATGACGAGAAATCATCATATTGACAATATTCCCTGTTTGCATTAAAACTGATACTGCTTCATCATGTTCTAATTTTGTAAAATCAATTCCATCTACTTCTAAAATTTTATCCCCTGGCATTATGACTTTGCTGGCAGGACCATTTGGATGCACTTTTGTAACGAAGATTTCCTGGAAGGGACAAAAATCCATTATGGTACATATTAAAGAACAAGAAGATAGAAGAGTGCAGGAAAAACCTGACAAATGTAAATGATACAAACATGAATGCACTAATCCTATCATTTAATATTATTCTTAAAATTATAACTACAACTGGACCAGGAATTTCCAAGGTAATAATAAGCATTAATAAAAAAAAATTCCTAATAAGTTACAAACTTCCTTCAACAAGGATTAGAGTTTGACATCTATTTCAAATTAATTCCTTTTACGTACTTCGGGAAGAAAAGAGATATGAAATGAGGTTAAAAGAAACCAAGGTATTAAGTTGTAGATATTGAGGGAGAAGGCTACTAGTGGCTACTGGTGAGCACATCATGTGTGCTCTTCTGCAACTTTTCAAACACAACAATCGATTAGGTTGCCTAAAATTTGTATTCCTAAATTAATTTGAAATTTTGCAAACTGAACAAAATTCCAACAAATCTTTACAGCACTGATTGTAAAAAAATACCACTTTACAAGATGTCAAAAAAATTTATCACCTAAAGAAGGTACTTGAAGGGCAACCTATTACATTGTTACACAGTCTACAGCCCCAATTTTCTGGTAGCATGGAAATTACATTTCACAACATTCAATAACCCTCATTTAATGGCATCTAGTAACTAGGGAAAACTTTTCAAACTGCCTCAAGTGAGATCCCCTCAATCTTTAAGGGTTTCAATTTGATAGATCGATTGAGGAATATAATATTTAGAAAACCGTCTAGCTAGGCACGCTAGCGTTCCCAACAGACGGACGTTTTGACATCAATCAAATTTTCGATACCCATTTATTACCACTGTCCTATTTGTATGACTGTGCACTTTGCATTCTTTGGTAGTCATATTTTTGTTAATTTTTCATCAACTGCCAATGTATACTGTTTTCAACATCTTTATCTACTGACTAAATCATAACTGAATACTTAACTGAATATTTTTAGCAAACATAATAAGTAATTACTTCTGAATGTTCCGTTTTTAATTACCCAAGGTATGCTTTCATAGAACACAATACATTTAAAAACCAACGCATTACATCATTCAAATGATGAATCAATTACTATAGTTTTTTGAATATGTTACTACTCTTATTCACCAATATTTTATTTCATCTAAGAGAAATTTGGGGGGAAAAATAGATGTATTATAAATATGGGTGCTAAAATCCAGTATCAATGACGGCGGCATACTTGAAAACATCTAACAAATTTCTGGTCGTTATTTCCATTGGAAAATACAAACGTGAGCCGTTATTGACCGTGTCAGAGGTTTTGGGACAAGAGATAGGTCTCTAGTCCTATAACCAAGTTAGAGTTACTTCGCAAAAAGTCAGGGCAATAAACGTTGATGCGCGTGATAAAACGTTGAAGAAACGAGTGACGGAACAACCGTATGCACGTGATGTTGGCATGGCCACCACAGCGAAAACCACTAAGAATATATCTATTCGTTTGTACCCATTTGTTCCACAATCTGTTCGAACCAAAACCACTTTCAATTATGGTGATGCCAATTTCACACTGACATCACCACCATCGTACGAAAATTAAGAACCATTTTAAATAGTTTGTACCCGAGTCGGGGGCGTGTTACCCCAGATGGATTTGTACAGGTCATTACCCTCATCCCTGTTAAGGGGCTGTTTATCGACACTACGACAGTCAATGCCCGTTCTAATGCAATTTGCCAAAAGCGCTGGATCATTCTTAAAAAGTCGTGTGCCCTAGCATAAGAATAGCGCTCCTAGCGCGTTTGCCTACATGTCTAAGGGGCCTTTTAGAACTGATGGTGGTGGATACAGAGGAGCCGCTCAAGATCTCCACTAACTTGGCATAGGTCTCGTTCAATTGGTCCTGGGATACAATATTTGTTTTGAGTTCATTTCCCATCTCAATGAGCTCTTGATCTACATTAGTTTTAGAAGTGCCCCAGGTTCCTATCCAAGTTGAAATATTTTCCTTCCAGTTAGGCTTGGATTCTAGTGTGACTCTGTTATTACAAGTTTCAGTAGTTATGTCTCCGGGCGTCTTAGCAGCCGAGGACTCAATAAAAGTTTTGTCCTGTCCTAACCGACCAGCGGTGTCTGAATGGGCCATGTCAACAGCAGATAAAACAGAATCAAAGAGGACGGGCTCGGCCAAAAGCTCCTGATTCATCTCTGAAACTATAACGGCCTCGTTAGGGGATTGCCCCCAATCTGCTACCGGGGAGGCAATGTCTACCATTGCGAGTTCCTCAGAGCCACAGCCTATGAGCCAAGGTTTTGGAAGGGAATCGGTATAAGGTTGTTTGCTTATCTCGACCTGTAAAGACGTTTCCACCCCCTTTGGATAAGTGTTAGAGCAGGAGATCATCGGCTTCCTTCCTGTCCCAACGGTAGGCCTTCGATACAGGGGAGAAGAAGAAATCAGCATAGGGATTTGGCTTATTGGAGTCTTCATGGGGCTAATGACCCTGCGAGGCGATGAGATAACAGAAGCACTAGTAGAAGGTCTAGCTAAATCATCGGACAACCGTCAGATGGGACAAAGATGACTCTGCAGTGACGGTAGTTACACATCTTCGATATGTAGTCTCTTCTTTTTTCACCCACCTCTCGGGTGGTCTTAGCCAGTAGAGCGGCCAAATTCTCGTTCGACGTCTCTGGTTGCTCTTTCTCCAATGCCGCCATTTTCATAATTTCCTCCGTAGAGAAGACTTTCCCTGCTCTGGGCACAGCAGTCCTACCACTACGCTGCGCCTTGGCAGCTCGAGCCCTATTTGCTGCGTCTGGATGAACAGGCGCAAATGTTGTGAGAGCCTTGATTTGGTTGCGAAGTTGGCGGAGCATAACTCGCATATAAAGTCTCCTTTAGATTCTTTCGGACCCGGGCACTTAGGGAAATGACTCAAAGCTGATAGCTTACCTTTGTAATTCTTGCTGCATTTGGAGCATGAAAAGATTAGGGGAATATCGCTATGGATAGTATCGTGATGCCGGACCATGTTATTCAAATCAGTGACCATGTAGCCACCCCTCCTTTCTGGGCACAATGTGCGCAGCGATTCGCCTCGCAGTGAATCCTAATCATGAACAATTCCATGCTAGTGTCGTCATAAATGGTGGCCTGTTGTTCACGGGGCGCGCCACCATGCGCACACGCGTCCGAGGTTTCGTTAATAGTGTCCGCTGCCAGTCGCTCCGAGGAGCACGACGGGGCCGTGAGCTGCAGTCCCTCGACCCCTTCCCCCGTGACGTGGGGTCCCCAAGATGATTTTCCTGTCAGGGATTTCCTTCCCTTAGGAAGATGCTCCCGTTTTAAGGCGCCGGAGACTCACCTATCGCCCATCCCTCTTGGCTGCACCTCAAGTTGCTCTGAGATGCATTACCAGGGTCACCGCGCGGAGGTGAGAGAGTGGGCCGAGGCCAAAGGCAATACATAGGGGCATGCAGTATGTACCTACACGCAATCACCAGGCTACGCCGGGGTTCGAACGACGAATAGCCGGAGCAGTGGCGCAAGTTCAACAGAGGAGGCCATTGGACCGACACAACACAGTGGCCCCCTATTTAAAGACGAGTCATTAATTTAACTCTGTTATTATGAACTGAATATTAGTAGAGAAAACATTTATTACAATATAAACTATTAGAGAAAATATATTACATTTTTTGCAATTGAATGATATAATTTAAAATTTAAATGTTAGTCTTTTTTCACATTTACAAATTTCTCAATAACAGTAGAAATATTATTTTTCAACCAGATTGTTTCCTTCACGCTCAACTGATAAAAAGCTGGAATTATTCATACAATCTTGTGCCATTGTACTTTGTAAATAATTTTTAATCTGCTTTAATTATGAAAACGTTCATTTACCACTGACGAGCATGACACGAAGTGTCAATACTGTACACAAATTGGGAAAACCTGTCAATAATGAGCAACATTCAGTTATTAATACGTTTGCAAGAACTTTAACAAATCTTAGTTTTGAAATTTGACTCTGAATAAATGCGCGAAGACAATATCTAACAAGTTTTCATTTATGTTATGAATATGCATGAATAGACTTATTGCAATTTTTAAAGAATCTGGGATTTCAACGAACATGAGACCTGCACTTAAGCTTCCTTTCACATAAGCTGCTCTTAAGCATTCCATTACGCTATCCGAGGGGAAAAAAAAAGAGACTTCATGCAAAATAGCCTCAAAAATCAAAATATCCGGTTGAAACTCCAAAAGCTCTAAGTTCGTTCAGATCAATCGAAGAATGTCAATTCTAAAAAAAGGTGAACGGTTTACGCGCTAGCGTTGGCGATGGATGGACGGAAAGAAAGGCGTTTTTCCGTAATCGATTTTTCAATATGAAGGACCAACAAAAATGGATTCTGGCTACACCACGTGTTAGAGAAAGTAATTTTCTAAATATAGCAACATAATTTATCCACTTTTTGTTACTAGGGCCCGGCAATAAAGAATTTTACGGCCGAAAATTCAGTTTTTCAGTGCACGATAACATAACGTTCTCTTCTTACGAAGTTAATGCGACAACAACTCTACATTTATTTTTTCGATGATTGCATTAGACACAGTGACTAATTATTTCATTTCGAATTTGGGGTCTAGCACGGGGTTCCCAGACATGGACCTGACAGTCCTTATGGAACTTACGCCACTGATAGGGAGTCTACTGAAGGTTCAGGAGCCAAGGCGGCTTTGAGCTAGCACGCAGACACTTCAGCCCCCGAGTCACCAATTCCCTTCAATAGGAGTCGAAGGAAACACTTTACGGCAAACATGGGTGGGCGTTCAGCACTCAGAGAAAGCCAGCGCGAAAGAAAAAAAATTACGATAAAAAGAATGGTGACATGAAATAGCAAGAGAAGAGTCGTCACTGCATCCCCCGTCCGTTCAAAGACCGACCCACCTAGACGGGAAAAGATTTGGATATACGCTCTTCGTTCTCAAATGATCAAGGTAGCACACGACTTTAGAAAGGGATATGTGAACAATTTCCCCCCTTTAACTAGTGGTGCTACAACAGAACATACTTTTACACACTATTTCTAAATTTGCTATTTTCGAAAATTCAAAGTTTGTCGAAAATGAGGCCTGCGCCATTCGCGCCAGGAAAGGAAGGAAAACATTTGTACACAAAATTTGGCGCGGTTTTTGAGGTTTTTTGTTATAAACTGCATTAATTTCAAGCACAAATTACAATATATTTCACGAAAAAAATTTCGAAAGTGATTTACCGGCTTCGTTGGCTTAGAGCCATCGTCTGCCGCTGTCTCTGCCCGGGAGGATCTAGGGTTTGAGTCCCGACTGCGGCAGATTTCCGATGCCAGCTATGTAGCTATGTAGCTGGGTCGAGTTCAACCGTTGTCTCGTGAAGAATTCTAGTGTGGGGCTGCCCCCCCCCCAATAGTTTTCCGTAGTTTCCCCGATCAATATCAAGCGAATGCCGGAACACTACTCAAACAAACGCCACGAACTGTGCGCGATCTTTTCTTCCTCTTTCTGGTCACACGAATTCACGCACGCACACACCCACTACAACATATGTTTGGAGCTTCGAGCTTACACGGCAGGGGCGGTGCCCCGCTCGAGAGATAATTGGAGGAAATCCCCACTAGCCGACGCGTCGTGTAGATCGGCGGCGGACCTCACCAGCCAGCAGTGGAGGAACACCGCCACCTCCCGGAATAAAAGGAAGATCCACTACACTACATTAATGACATAGCAGTTGACATCAGTTTACCAATCAAAGGAGATTTTCTTAGAACAGTATTTCCGAGCATACAGGCATCCTCTTCCATCTACGGCCTAAATTATTACAACTTTTTATTTTAATTATCTTAAAACCAATTTTAACCAAAATAGAAATTGACTTTTCCTATGAATAACGAATTCCCTGAATATTCCTGGTTTAACCGGAGTGACTATTCCTTGAATTTGTAGTACATAAAAAATTAATTTGCTTTTTTTTTTAAAAAAAAAGAAAAAAATAAGACTCGTTTTGATATGAATTTTATATCTGCCCACAACATCTGCCCTGATAGAGAAACTGTGGATCATGGAAGAGACTTTAAGAGAAGTAATATGCCATAGCATTTAGTTCCAGTGGTGGGAATGTCAAAGCATAACTTTGTTCTGAAGAATGTTTAGAAAATGATATTTAAAGCAAAAAAAGTCATAATTGTGAAGAACTGGTGTATGTTAAAAATAACAACCAAACACACGTATCCCTATACTTTTGACAATCAAAAAGGTAATTTATAACAAAATCTATTTCACAATTACACATTTCATGTGAAACTAGCATGCAAAACATCGGAATTGCGAGATAAAGACTTTTTATGAATTACCTGCTTGATTGTTAAAAACATAAGGATATTTGTGTTTTATTGTTAATTTCATGTGACATAACATACCAATTCAAGATTTATTCTGTTTTAAAAACCGTTAGAAAATAGTCGGCACACAACATGTCTTTTACATACACAATATTCTGTAAACAAAGCTCAATCTTCTATTGACCAAGTGCTTGAAGATGATGAAATCCATAAACTATGAAATAAATTGTGAGAAGAGGCATTATAGGGCATACAGTATTGACTCTGAAACAACTTTTTATAAAATATGAAAATTGATATTTTAAAGACATTTTACTGAAACAGAGCATATCATTGCATGAAATCAACATAAAAATATTGTTTTAACATTGTAAGTCTAATTCAAAATATCAACAATGCATGCAATTCTGGCTACACGGTGAGAAGAAATGAGAAACAAAATCTGTTTGAGTAGATATATTATGCAAATTCATACCATTCAGTTCCAGCACATGAAGGAGGTGGTCACTTCTCTTACAATTACACAATATATTTTTATATTAAAGACTTCTAAAACAAACCTATAAGAACAATGCTATATTTACAGATATTAATATATCACAGAACAGTGTACTTACGACCAGGATTTTTTCTTTGTAGGCAGGATTTTGAAATTACTTACATTTTCGTATCTTTCACTGTTGCTAACCGCTTTCATGCCTCCACTAATACTGAAGCCAAGTCCAGAATTCTTCTGAATGGTCACTGGAAACTAATAAAACAAATATTATGATGACTGCAGCTTAACTAGGCAATGAGCACATTACTGTACTTCACATTCAGTACATTGTAACTATACTTCTACGAGCTAATAGTAATTGCCTTTTACCTCTTTGACCAGGAGCTGATAGTACAAAAATCACACTGAAAATTCTCTCCTGGCTCAAGTGCGGAGTACATACACAATTTACAGTTTACACAATACTATGAGGAATCATGAGGGTATTCTTGAAATAACCAAGAAATATTCCAAGAAATATAAAAATCGTCCTTGATAGGCATTATAAGGGCAGATTTCAAATGACCATGTCACATGGTACACTCGTTCCTGCCCATTCCACTTGACGTAACCAAACATCATGTGAACAAGCAGATGAAACTGATCTAATGGTATGTAGTTGTGTTTGTGGTAGTGCTTGAATCATTTGTCATTGTCATTGCAACATGTCTGTGTTACAATTAAATCATTTTCCTTTTTTGTTGTTATTGGTATTGTTTCTGTTACTGTTGATAGCAGTTCACTGAAGTTATTTGTGTGTTTGTTAATTTTTCAATATTTGCATTTTGTATACAAGCTTGTGATGTACAGATATGGAGCAATCTGCCCCGAATCTGTAGAACTTCACTAAACAATGTTTGCTACATATAAGCATACATAATTTGTGGATAAAAAAACCGGCCAGTGAGTGTTGCATTGCAAAAGGCATACGCACTGTAGTTTGGGGGTTGGGCTGGACACTGACTGTGATTTTTGCACGTTACTGTACTTGAAGAAAGGCATTAATATGAAGAACAAGAAGATTGAATACCCTATATCACCATCTGTTATTCACCCAGTATTCCATGAAGAACTGCCAGTTCTCAATTCTACCTTCATAACTGTGAATGGGGCAGCCGCGCAAGGAATGTCCATTACAGACAGAAAGAATGGCATCGGCGAGCAGCTTTGTTGGCTGGCACAAAAATGTTCCACACAGACTTCAATGAATTCTGATAGGATTGTGCTACTATCGTTACACATCAAACTTGGACTTGGAAAGGCATCTGGATGGCTTCTCCATCAACTGTGGAGAGTTCAATGAGGAATAAGGTGAGAGATTCCATCAGGGCATTTCTGCAATGGAAAAGCATTACAGGAAATGGGAAATAGGTTGTTTCAATGTTAACAAATTTCCACTGGATGATCCAGAGATATTTCCCATGTGACAAGTAAGTACAACGAAGGAAACTTTGAGCCATACTTTTGTATATTGTATTTCCATAGCATTTTATGTAAAATGTGGAATTACTCAGAAAAATGTGCTAGGAGAGAATTTTTAGAGGGTTTCTTATGCTTAACAATCCGTAATCTATAAAGAATGACTACTATAATTTTTGTAAATAGAAAAAAGTGAAAATTTGTTGAACAGTGTTATTTTATAACATCATTGTAATCAACTTTGAAAGAAAATATGAGCATGGCCTGACAAGAACTTCTAGTGAAAATGGTCCCAAATTTCGTTGACCCAAACGGGATTGCTAGGGCATGCATGCAGTGGCGACTTGGGTAGAAGACCCGCTTCAGCACTGTTGTTTACCCATGTGTTGTGACATGGTGGGCTTTCCCACCCATCATGTATCACTTTCCAAATTGTATTTTGTCTAATTGCTCCTTCAATGACAGTATCAACTACATTTTTCTTCTAATTTCCTTCCTCTTGGAGTGGAAAATGTAAAAATTCCTTTACTTGGAGATAAGTTTCCTTTCATGAATCATTGTTTTTATGATGAAGTTGAATGACCTGATTACAAAAGCAAAATTTTGGGCATATAACAGCACTTTTTCCTTTAGACCCTAAGAAAATAACCAGTTAGATCCTAAAGAAATCAAAAAGAAACTCCAGTCGACCAGTGTTATCAAAAATATCAATGAGAAAAATGATGGTGATTGATTGAAGTTTCTGGATGCGTAAACTGCTATGGTCACTAGTCCTGTAAGTGAAGTGCATGTTTTTATCACAGGAGGTGACTGTGATTTTCCCCGCTGGATGGCGAGATTTGGCAACAGTTCTGTATGTCGACTTGTGGGGGTTCTTCCCAATCAGCATGGTACTACCCCAGCCTGGACAAGTTCTAAGTTAGTGGTCTCTCAATGTATGATAGGTAGTGCATGTAAGTGAGGTTAGAATAGGACACAGAGAAGGAAGGAAAGATCATGCAAGGTCCGTGGTCTGTTTGTTAGGGTACTGTTCCAGCATTCACCTCTTGTTAATCGAAAAGTAAACACAGAAAACTACCAGTGTTAAGCATAATATTTTTTAATAATACATGCAACCTACATTAAGGCCACTACAGTCGCTTACTTTACTAGCTTCTTAACCCCCCATCTGGAGTTGGATACTTACAACTTAAATACAAATAAACATATTTTCCTAAGTATGCTATGCATAGGTACAACATTAAAATAGAATGTCAGAATTTAAGAAGTAATTTTGCAGGGCATTAATGAAATGAAAAGAAGGAAAAAAGAGAATACCGCTTAATAAGACTTTCTCTAAATAAACCAACAATGTTAACAATATTCATAATGTATCAACTATAAACTTACCACCATTGCATTTTTGTGAGGTCCGAACATCCACTTAGAAGGGTGCTTACTTTGGGGTTCAGCTGGAGAATTCATGCTAAGGTTTGATAAAGAAGATAAATTCATTGGCACTGACACACGTAATTGCTGGCTAACTGGAGATTCAGCAGTCTTAAATGGTTGCTCTGAAATTGAGTGAATATCTGATATTTCTGCATTAGGTTCAGAGTAATACTCTGATCCATCTCCATACAAACTGCTACTTGTCCTATGAGGACTCAAGTTCACTTCATGTAAAGGTTTACACTGAGTATTCAGATTACAATCAGCAAGTGTCATTCTCTGAGGTGCATGATAATAATTCTGCTCCACTCTGACAATGTCAGATGATGAAATAATGTCAGAGTCTTGTAATATTGCATTAGATAGTACTCTGCTCCCTTTAGGACAAAGATTTTCTTTTTTTGGAGATGGGAAGCATGGGACAGGAATTTTTGTATTAGGAGAAATATTGAATGATTCTCTAGGTTTATCTTTATCTAGTTTTTGTAGTACTTTGTTTGAAGAATTCAGAACATCATCGTCTGTGCAAGACTGATCACCAGGAGATTGTGGGAATGCAGTATGAGGAGGTATTCTGTTAAAAGCACGAGGAATGCCAGACACTTTTCGTTGTGAATTCGGAGCAGGCAAGGGAGATACTTTAGTATCCAGAGACTGAGTAGAAGTTCCAAAAGAGGCTGAACGAGGCCTCTGAGGAGTAGGAGCAATCACACTTTCACTAACTACAGGCTTGTCTTGAGTAAAGGTCTGAGGCTTTTGCAAGAAAGGCACTTCCCCACTATCATCTTCCAATCGCTCAAATTCAACTTTATTCGAGATGTTTGATGTCACACTTTCCACACCATTTTCAAATACTTCTGAAGCATTCTGTTCCCTCCTTATAGCATCATCATTTGTAGGTTCGCTTGAATTATGTTCATGAGTCAATGTACTACTGTAAGATACCTCGTTTTTCTCTCCAAAATTAGAGTTCCTTTTGATTTCAACATCATTGTTTGAGACAGAACCGAAGTTCGCGTTATTAGATGGCAACGACAAAAAAGTAACTTCATCCGATAAATTTTCTTCTTTAGAGACATCTACTGGCAAAGAATTCTCTTCTGTGAGAGAATTAACTGTGCTAGTAATTTGCTTTCCTTCTAATGAGTATAAATGATCATGCTCCTTTATTTTGACAGGAACTTGTGGTGCACCAGGTCTTGGGTTCATTCCTTCATTTATAGATTGATTATTTACACACGTCTCAATTTCTTCAGGATCTATTTGTTCATCTGCAAAAAGAGAACATGTTTAAATACTTCACTATCATCATTAGATATCTCATTCAATAGCAATTATTAAATCACCTCTAAAAAGAGGCAAATGAAACTTTTTCTGGACAAACACCCTTCAAACAGCTACCTACATTGAAATGAATTTAACTTTAACTGTTTATGCTCCTATGCCAAATGGTGTTCAACATCATGAAAGTGCTCTTCTCCTCTGATGTTAAGCCCCACTCAACAACAATTTTTCATGCTTAACTGAGCTCAGAAGTTGAGTGACATCTGACAGATTGTATGTGGACTGTGGAGTAAACATTTGATGTCTAACATAGTCATTGATGTATAATTTCAAATTGTTAAACAGTTTATTAGGCTATTAATAGTTAAAGTTATCTTCGTGTAAACTAAAGGATGCTTTTCCTATCACAATACAATAGCTCAGTGGCTATACCACAAGCTCCTCCAAAATTTTTGTAGAGTGCATTAGGTGCCATCTAATCAGAACATTGAGACCAAACAATGCAAAGGTCTATCATGTATATTGATGAGGCAGTTCACTTTGTTAGACACTTTATTAAATCCCTAAATGGTTAAAACTGTGATGATGAGAACCAAATAGGCTTTCTTCAGTTTTTTAACCAATATGTTTCTTCTTCTATGCCCCAAACTTAGAAACCACCAATGCGTTGTGTGAGCACCATGATAGCATGTCAGTGAGATTTAAATAACAAGCAGACACAAAAGCAGGGTTCAAAGAATTAGGAGCACAGAAGGTTAAGCGCCATCAACACTAAGTCAAATACTGCTCTTCCAACGGAAGAAAACTGGCTTTATTTTAGTTCCTTAAATAGGCTTGGGACATTTGTATGGGTCAACATTTTCATTAAAATACACAAAACTATCTTTGTGAAAAGTGTATCTTTTCAATAAATTAAAAAAGCCTGAATGATTTGTAATGTAATATTTGAAAGTATAATTTAGGGAAATTTCATCATGGCATTAAACATTGTCATATATGTGTGTGTGTGTGTGGGGGGGGCATCTTTATAAAGTTTGTGAATCTCAGTAGTAGAGGATTGGGGTTTGTTGTGGTCAAGTAAACTTCAGAGTATTGCATAGTACCCTACAATGTAAACATAAACACTTTTCTAGATCTGAAAAAAATAAGATGAAAACATTTAATTTACATAAATAAGCAAATTGCATATTGTGCTTAGGCTTTTAAGAAAGGAAAGTTATGATAACAGTGATTTTCTATGATAATATTTAAGATATTTCATTTCTCTCAAACCTAATGTTTTTCAATACACCCTATGTCATAAAGTTTATCTCCAGTTCCCTGCATTATTATTTCACAATGTGGTGTAAACACATCAATATCTTATACAATTACTAGGTGTTTTCTTGTACATTACACAAAGAAATAAGGATCCTTTCATCGGAGAGTGGTTAAGGAAATTAACATTTCTTCTCACATACAGTATCATCCCAATTGACACTTACCTACAATATTCGTATAAATATCAATCGTGTATTCATAAAAAAAAAGATACATCAATGCTATACTATACCTTTCTCTCTTCCCATAACTGAGCAACTGGATGTTTCAGGAGAATAATTTACTGTCTTTGGCACTGACTTAGTATGACTTTGCATAAAAAAAATTGCTTGTTTAGAATAAGCAGCTGCTATGTGATATGGTGGAGGAGTCTGAAAAGACTGTTCTGAATTTGACACAACACTTTCTCTCTGTCTACTCTCTGTAAGTGCAGATGAATTAGTAATTGGTGTATTTATTTTTCTGACACATTTTGCCTCTCGCACAACTGGCCCAGTATCCAAAGCAATTACAGATGGCATTTCTCCAAGAGAGTTACCATATGTCATGTCATCATACTCTTGCAAAATGGTATTTGTTTCCACATATCCCTTGCAATCTATCTGTTTTCCAAGGATGTCCAAATTCTGAAAAGAATGAGATTACAGGAGTTGTAGTTAAACACAGATACTAAAAAATCTAAAAGAACGAAATTAAGTTTAACCTTAATAGAGAAGAAGAAACAGTTATTGTATCACACCATTATACTTTTCCAGGAAATAATAAAAAAGTATTAAAAGTACAACAAATTACTTTATATATTAGAGCAAATAGATGGACTGAGCGACAAATAAATTGATAAGTCTTATCCCCATATTACAATGACCTGAATTCTGTTCCCTAAAATGTTCTGTTATGCACAAAAAATTGTACCTTGTCAACATGCTGAACCACTGATTGCATTATTACAGGATCTATACTAGGCTTTTTCACTTTTGCTTCTTTTATCAAAACATCTTTAGGTTCTTGTGACACCATTTCTTCCACAACTGGCAAATCATCTTCATTCTGAAACAAGGATTTTGAAATAATTAATTTACTGGATTCTATGAAGCCACAGAACAGGGTTTCACAATGATTAGAAGTGGGATGTTTTTGAGGCTTCATGAATATGATGTATCAACAGCATCCTACAAGAAAATTATATTTTCATTACACATGATATTGGACTGCTTAAAGAAAGTATCCCAACACATTTTAAAGTTATATTTTTTATTAGGTTGCTTTGGACCTTTTTGCTCTTTAGTCAACCCACTCATCCTGGGGTATCGTTAACTTCCTCTCTTCTGTTGGTTCACCTGGGAAGAACATTCTACCGTTGCTCTTTTCACATGCAAATTCACTCTTTTCAGCTGAATTAGCAAGTTTGATAGATTTCCTATGTCTCTCCTGGAAAATTCATCCCTTTGATTTGATATGGTACGTCCTTTTTACACAAAAAGCATAACTGGATTAATATTGATCTTTCAATAAGGTGCAACTCATAAAAAATATGTTTTCATGAACTTTTTAATATTTAGTTGTGCTCAATTTAATTAGTACATACAACATCATTTTTGTACAAAACACTCAAACTTGATTGCACATGCAGACTTTTGAGACCTGACAACAGCTCTGTGATACATGAAGACTGGGAATGTTATTTAAACAAACTTGCAGCAGACATGATGATGAACAGTGTGCTAATTATTTTGGAGAGTTAGTGCCACATACTCCTAAATAATGGCTAATAATGGCAGGGGTAGCAAGCTTTTCCTAGTGCACAGCTTTCTCCCAATGTATCCGACTCGGACTTCTAAAAAATAGGGTGAAATTTCATCTGAAGATTATAGGTCATGGGTAACAATTTCCTGGATATTGCAATTTAAAAAACAGCAATCTAATATGATGAAACTCATCAAAGGAGAGAGTGACACTGATCAAAACACTAAAACGTTGTCTCTGATCTTCCTGTAAATTTCTTAGTCTGCATGTATCTCATTGTGCGTGATTTACCTACTACCCATGCATTCCCCATGCGTGGTTGTATAGAAGTTGTGATACCTAAGAATAGAGAGGGAACAAGGGTTTGGCAAATCTAAAGTACCCAAGAAGCAATTTATAATCATATATTCATAAAATGTTATTGAATAACATTGTACCTAACAATAAAAATTTGTTTTTAAAATTGTCCTCTTAACAACTTTATCAAAATATTGCGACACTATCTTATTTCTGTTCTGTAGAACACTACTTACTTCTTTTGGAGATCTTTTTAAATGATGCATAGCACGTGCGTGTTTGGCCATGGCACGAAGTTCTTTTGGATAAGGAGTAGGGGCTCTCATGAGCCGGCTAGGAGCTTCTGCATCAGTATCAGTAGCAAAACTTATATGCTGCTTAACTTTTGTAGGTGCATTTGCACAAACTTCTTGTCTCACCCAATGACCTTCTGGTAAAAAACAGAAGACTTATATTTCATTTATTGTAAACAAGCAAATAAGTTAACGATATGAACAATTGATTTAAAAAAAAAATTAGTGGTATTAGCACACACTTCCTTGCATTATTTGTAACTTAAGCAATTTTCAAAAATACAGAGCCTTTTTTAGATGGGGGGGTATTTTCATGGAAATTCCACGAAAACTGCTCATATTTTGAAATAGAATAAGATAGTCCAAAAATTTGGACACACTTTTCAGAAAATTTTGAAAATGATGTTGAGGCTTCATTTTTGGAAATACCTCCAAAAACCAAAATATTAGTTACAAATTTGAAGGCTTCAAATTTGTTCAGATCAATTGTGGAATATCAACTTAAAAGATAATTATCTGAATGGTTTTGTTGTTAATGTTGATCATGGACGAACATATTGCCATAAACCAATTTTTCAGCATCAGGGGCTCACAAAACATTGATTTTCACAACACAACATGTTAGTGTGAGCAATTTACTATATATAGCAACAAGATTTATTAACTTTTCAATTATCAGGGCCTCACAATGTAGTTTTCTCAAGAAATTGCCACTTTCAAATCCATCATTTCTCTTTAATACATAAGTATGTAGTAGGCAGGAAAGTAAAAATCGTGTCAGCAAAACATGAAGAGGAAAATACAACTCCAATATTAAAACAAAATAGTAAAAATGCATTTCCAAAACAGTTCAAAAAATAATTTTCAAAGAATGCATTCTTACATAATTCAATGTAGGACACAAAATAAAAAAATAAAATAAAAGTACAATCTTAGTAAACAATTTTTCTACTAAAATTATATACAATAGAGAATCCTTTCTAAAATAAATTTCTTTCTTCTTCAACCAGGCACAAGTAAAACTGTTTATGTAAAGTAAAGTAAGTAAAGCTGTTTTGAAGATTACACTTGGTTTAGAATGGAAGAAATTACTTCTGAACATACTCGTAATTGAAATTGCAATTTTAATGGATAAATTGTTTATTAGAATATTTTGTTATTGTTAAATACTATTTATGTAGGTTATTAAGAAATATTTCAAATCATGTTCAAACTTCAAGTCAAAGTTTAAATATACATTTAATACCGTTAAAACACTTGGGTATTTCACAGAATTTAGGAACGTGTAAACATGAAAATCCGAATTTAAAAGGCTATAATTAAAATAAAGCCAAAAAAGAATAAAAAGAACGAAAAAGGTAAACGTTAAACACATGAAAGTTTCATGTTTCAGAAACTTTAAAATTAAAAATCAGAAATGTATTTTGGAAAAGATAAGCATTTATTAATGTTTAACAGCAACATGTATTTTTAATTGTAAGTTCCCTTCACAGACATTTTGGAATGTAATCTGGTGCAGGAATATAATGGAATATATGTCTGAAAAACTCTGAATAAAAATTAAACAAGATTTAAATACATATTTTTTGGGGTATTTTCTATTAAAACTTCAATTTTCACAAAAATGAGCAGTTATTCAAGGTGAAAAATACAGTATTTTCTTTAATGATCTAAGATCATATTAAAAAAAAAAGACAAAACACTTTAGCAAAATTAAAAACAATCCAAAAAATGTTAGCCAACAATTCAAAGAATTATCCCTATACATAAGCAAATATAACAGTATTTCTTGCCTTAGTATGACCCCAAAACTACAAAAATAACTCCTTTAACAAAATTAAATTTTGTGTTCTCAAATGAGGATAGAGGCTCTGAATAGAAAGTTAAATTTCATTCAAATTAAATAATGTTCATGTTAAAGTACAAGAGAAAAGATGTAAATTGTCACCCCTGCAGTAATTTTGTGAAGTAATTTCCACAAGTTTGGGTATCTTTACAACAGTTGTAACACATTATGTGTATCACTAAAAATAACATGATTTGAGCATGCCAAAAACTAGGCCTTTTTAAGAAGTGAAGAACACATGAACACAGTGTTTAAAAATCCTTAACATAAAATATGAGAAGTTGCATGAATTACTTTTTTTAACCCCTAGACTGTTTGGGGTCTTGTTTGACCCCGGGATCAAATAATGTTTTGCTACACTCTGAAAATTATTCACGTGAACTTCTTTAGATATGCCACTTATGTCCAGTTTTACATGTGTTGTAAACTTTTCAGTTTAAAAATAAATTGTTTAAAATAATTTGGTTTTAATGCAGCTGGAGTCAGAAATGATGCATTTGACATCTAAATTACAAAGGAAAAATTACTAAAACTTCTCAATTTTTGTTTTGTTGTATTATGTTGTGGTTTTCGAGACATAATTTGGATGTTTGTCTATTACGACTTGGTAGCTCTGTTTCAAACATTCTCATACTGGTAAGATAGACATCTATGTATAGTAATGAGAAAATGCAAGAATGTTTTCTGGAAATGTTATTCTTTGTTATTTAGTGCAATATAGTAAATAAAGCAAATAAATACCATCACTTTCTCAATTAATAATTCAAAATAACATCTGTGCATCAAATGCTGTAAATTATTGTCTTAAAGGTTTGGGGTCAACAACGACCCCAAACAAAATCCACATGAGTATTGGAGAAACACAGTTGAAGGGTTAATCAGTCTTATGGGGAACTTCATTAATAACGTGTTTAGTACTGGTAAGCTCCTACAATAATCCTATTAAAGAAACCTTCTTGGAATGATACTGTAAAGTCCTCATTAAAAACTTGAAAATTGTCTTCACAAAAATGAAATTAAAAAAAAGTAGGTATACAAAAGTACCCTAGAACCACTGAAAAGTTTAAAGATCTACAATCTCTTACTTATAGCAATAAATATAAAGTCATTAACTTTCAATCATGAAAACAACCATGTACACATTCCACAAAAGATACTCTTGCACAAAATTATTTCTTTGTTTATTTCTACCTTTCGTGAAACAATTTCTAATCTTACCAATAGGATTACATTCTTGTGTGCTTTGCGGCAACATGAAATTTGTGCACACCATTTGTCCTGTATGCTTGTCAATTTCTTGTTGAAGAGTTGTAAGAGGAGTGCTTTGATTATTAGAGAGCCATAGAGCCGTTAAATGTACAAGATTCAATATAGATACAGGCAGGTTTTGTAATTGATTTTCACTCAAGTTTATTACACGCAAATTACTTAAATGGCCCAATTCTGCAGGTACATGTTGTAATTTATTACTATGAGCACTCAGTATTGTTAAACTTGTGCAGCTACCAATCTCTGGAAACAGAAGTTACAGCATTACACAAATATAATATGAAAGAGATGATAAACTAAAACTTTTCATACATAAAACACATAAGAGAACCTGAAAATATATTAATTAAAAATATCACACAACAGAAAATATTGCAAGAAAATACTTATAAACACCGTATCTAAAATTTAAAATTTAATTAAACAAACATGCTTTAAATATTATTCCCTAAGTTAAACATGTCAACAGCAAGAATTTTCTTTGCTATGTCATTCAATAAGAAATGATATGTACAGACAATAGTTTTAAAAGGGCTTGTTCACTAAGCTCAAATTTTTGGGTTGCAATATATTAGAGGGGGAAAAAATCACAAAATATGTACAAACCAATTAAATCGATCCTATTGAGTTCATAACTGTAAAAGGAATATGATAATATAAGAATGAAAATAATATTGTAAAAGTAAAGGAATCAAAACAACTGAAGAAAAAGAAGAGATGGATTAAAACAAACTATGCAGAATTATGTAGTCATATTGATAATAAAGTGTAACATGTGATTATAACAAAAAACTATTGTCAAAAAGAAATATACACTTAACCTGAATACTTCAATGCAAAGCAATAATATTCTGCAATAGAATACAATTTATAAAAAATACTTGTTTCATAAGTTGGGATACGAAAACCAGTAAAAAAATAATTTTTAGTTGCACCAATGATGCTCAGGTACTCAATTCAAATAAAGAGTAATAGACATTTATCTTAAATAACACTCATGGTTGAATTTGAACAAATGAAAAACAATGAAGTCAGACTTTCAATTCAGGTAATGATAATCTCTTTATGTTCCCAGTCATGTAAAACTCTTTGATGACTTTACGCTACATATTCATCACTGAGATTACATGTTCTTTATTTTGAGATTTCAAGTACACTTACACAACTAAGGCCTAATGCCATACACAGGAAGAACTTCACGCATTGGAACAGCAAAAATTTGTGCACTGGCTTCCTTAACTCATTCCAACAATTATAAGTGGAATGTGTTTTTAGGTATGTTTATTTGCATAAAATAATTAAAAGCAATTACCATTCCATAAATGACTGCCAAACTACTGACACCTTTTGATGTTTACAAATATTTTCTTTGTCCTTTCTGAGCTCCATGAATAAACAAAACAGGATGCAATGCACACCTGAGTATGGCTTGAAAGACTCATAGCTACTTAAAATCCATTAGCAAGTTCCATAACTGATGTTAAGCAAAGGGAAAAAAGAAATTGTATGGGTTATGATTTGAATATTTATTCAAGCAAGATTTTTAGAATTTTACACTAATTTCACTGGTCTCAGCTATTGACTAGTATCAGAGAATAAATGCCCACCAGGACTCAAACATGGACTTCCTGGTTTATGGAGCCTTTACTGTAGAGGGATTACTGTAGACTGCAGTAATGCACTACACTCTCACAAAAAGCAACGTACCTGGTGGCAATTCTTCCAGCATATTGTCATCAACATTAAGCACATGAAGTTTTCTCAATAATCCAATACATGCTGGTAAGCTTTCCAAGTCATTCTGACTGAGAATCAATTCTTCTAAATTTGATAGTTTACCTATAGTGTTTGGTAACATGGAAAGTTGATTATCATCTACTTTCAATGTAACTAATTCTCTAAGATTTCCCAATGTGTTTGGCAAAGACTGAAAAATAAAGATAGTATATGAATAAATCATGAAAGACAACATATTCTTACAAGTTAACTTTTAATTCAACAGACAGAAATTAGTTTTCCACAGAGACTCTTCAATATAAGCTCATAATAATGTATACTAGTCAATTACATTACTGGAATAGAATATAGAAGAAGAAAAAAGAAAATTTATTGAAACTTTGGCTACTGCATTGCAGAAAAACTCCAATTTTCTTTGGACATATTATTTGACTAGATGAAGTACCCTGTGATGCCTGGGTACAGTAGAACCTCTCTAATTGGAAATTTTGGATAATCCAAACAAATTTAAGGATAGAGAAAAAATAAACAAAATAAATAAAATGCGAATTTGTAGTGAACAGAAAGGATTTTATAATTACTGTAGAACTGAACAAACTAATTATTAAAACAAGTTTGTGGAATGAAAAGTTTATTGCACTGGTAACTACATTGTATATCATATGTTTAGGTAGCAGTAATTTTCACTTAGAGGAACTTGCAAAATCGATAATCTTTTTTTTTGCCGTAAGGAACTGAATCTGCTTGATGATGCCATGTGATGGTGTGATTACTATGCTATGTAGCCATTTTCTCAGATTGCACGGTACATCGCAGTCTGGTAATCCTTTAGATGTATTTGTATATGCATGGTACATTTTTTTGGCTAATGCAAACATTTCCGAATCTGAACAGACCACACCCCCAATTAGTTTGGAATACTGATGTTCAACTGTATTAATTAATCATAATCATCTATTAGTCAGGAAAAGGAATGAATACTCTGAGTGATGTATTCCCTCCTAATCTTTCTTGGCCCACCCCATCCCACCCACACAGCTCCACACCCTCTCTCCAATTCCTGCTTCACCAGGCCCATCCTGCTGTGTTGGTCATTGTTGTCATGGGCACCTGAAAAGAGATGCACTGTTGCATACTCCTGACAAACTTCTGTAACAATTTTGATCTTCAAATATTCTGAACCTATTTGTGCTACTGAAATGAACCAAAATACATTTAGTATGAAATTTTATGGGCTTATATTCAAGAAAAACTAAAACAGTGCTGTCTTAAAATTTGCTTTAAGGGTTAGGAAAGAAATATGGAGTAGTTTTATGAAATCTCATGCTCACAGTAAATTTTTTTTGCTCTAAATATCAAACGTAAAAAAATATCATTAAGATTAGTTTTAAACTGCAGATTTATACAAAAAACAAAACAAACAAACAAACCTTCTTCATTAAATAACAAATAATAATTTGAAATAAAAGTAGCCTTATTTATGCCCGACAAAACATTCTACCTATATGTGAAAACTGCATTGAAATTGGTTACCGAGATGAACAGACAAACAAAAATTGTAGTATTAATTGATTTGTTATTATATCATATTCCTAAATAAGCATATGAGTTTATAAGATGGCAGTTATTTTGAAACCACAGGCGGACACTCTAATTTTATTGATATACATAATTTATAACATTTGTGTTCAATTTTCACAAAGCATGAACTTACAAAATTCAAATCTGAAATTCATCATTTTGTACACCATAAAAAGAAATATTAACCTATCCCTTCAAAACATTCCTATAAATAATGAAATTTTAATATTTCACAGATACAATATGTTTGTATCAATTCAGAAGTATTTCAATAATGAGGTAAAAAATGACTAATGAAAGTATTAGTTTCATACTTTGATTTCAAAATAAACAAACAATCATTCACTTATTTATCTATGAAAGTCCATATAGATATTTTACATCATTAGCATACGATGATAATTTTTCATTATTTCTCTGATTTCAGTAGGTTCTTAAAAATGTCTTTTAGATGATTGTACTCACAGTGAGTTCATTACAGGTGAGAGATAAATCTAGAAGTTTAGCACAGTGTTCAATTTCTGAGGCAACTGAGCGAATATTGTTATTACTGGCTTCCAAATGTACAAGCTTTTTAAGATTTCCAATAAGCTGAAAATAAACAAATTATCAGTATTATAAAAATCACGTAGTGTACTACTAGGAACAATATAATGAATTATATCTTACAGGTGGAATGCTTCTGATGCGGTTCGAATCTACCCAGAGCTCTGTTAAATTTGGTAAATTTCCAATAACTTCGGGCTGAAATGAAAAAAGGAAAAACAAACATAAATATACTTTTTGCTTCAAGGAATACAATTACACTTTTGAAATGATTGTCCAAACTATTTCAGACAAATTTATTTATCAAACGCACTTCAGTCCTGAGGTCTGTAGCATTTTCGTCCAATAGTAAATTTTGTCCACACATATTTCATTACTCAGAAAATTGGTCCAATATACCTATTTTCCAATTGTGATGGAATTGCAGTCCATAGCATTTTATCCAAGAGTAAATTCTGTCAAGACATTTTTCAATCCCATGAAAAGTAGTCCAATATACTGTATTTACCTGAATATGATGAGAGATTTCTTCCCCAAAAATCTCACTTGAAAAATTACAGGTCATCTCATATTCACAGATTCAGTCTAGTCAGTTAGACTTTATAATTTTACATTGCCTTTCCTTGTCAAGAATTGTATATTATTCAACCAGTTTATAATATTAGACTTTGTAGCATAAGTATATGTGTTGAAATCAAGCTACGTTCTAAGCTAGTTTTCAAATTTGTACAAATGCAATAAAGAAACAATATACATAAGTTGCATGCTTATAATGTTTTGTAATGGTTTATAACGTTTTGTATAATATTATAAATTTATAAAAGAAATAAAATTAATTTTGGAAAAAAATTTCAAAAAGGTCCTTGCATCTGGCAACATAGATTTTGATGTTATGACCTCACGCAGCGACAAGTAGGGAGGACAGAAAGTGTGGGCCGACAGTGAGGAAGAGGCCACGACGGCCGTGGAGGAAGGGAAGTCGAAGACGTCCGGAGAGGGCAGGCAGTCAGGTTGAGCGCTGACCACGGGCAGGGGGGGCGAGTTGCTCCATAAAATGTCTGTTTATGAACGATTTCTTGCAACGAAAACGGTCGTTTATAATGCTAGTTTGTGGAAAACTTGTTAATAAAAATTAGCTGCGAAGACGATATCACGTTTATGTGTAATACCTTATATTCGCGAACGAACTGTCGGCATCCATTGCGAATTTGCCGGGCGATTCACACCAATTTCGGAGTGAGCTCGTAAAGAGAGAATCTCAAACGAATGGCATTGCATCACATGAAATGCGTAGTGAAAATGAATAAAAATCGTTGCCGAAATTATTACACGATGCGCTGATCGACTTCGCCGCGCGGACTCGCGGTCCGACGCCCGGCGAGTGCGAAAATTTGTGGACAAAAATTTACGAAGTTACAAATGGACGACATAGTAAACATATACAATTACGACATTGTTACAAACTGGGCAAACAATTTCTAAGGACCAACGAATGATTCGACAAAAACATAGTCGGCGAACATTGTGAACAAAAATTACTAAAATGTGCTACTTTATCAAGAATTCCTAACATTACATATTTTTGTATTTTACAAATTTATATTAAAAAACTATTATACCCACTATCAATGCTTATATTTCTAGAAATCTATCTCTCAGAGTTCAACATTTAAGTTATATTACAAGTAACTAGTATCTTACCTTTTCATATTTTCATGGAAACTGTACCATTCCATTAGATTGCATGTAATAAAAGTCTCTGATAATAAACATACATTAAATGAATAATTTAATAAAAAAATTGGGCGCATACTACATTTCAGCCAAAAAATTACATGATTTACGAAGAATGCAATGAGACATAAATACTGGAATAGATTAATATCTTTTGACAAAATTAAAATTGAACAGAACAAAGACATAATCAAAGTCTAGTTTTTTCATGAAATCATGTAATAAAATTGTTAAACTTGAACATCAAATTTAATATTTGAACTAATAAACGTACATCAATGTACATGATTAAGTACATAACAGAATAGGCTAGAAAGTTAAGGGGCAACAATAACATTTTTAACACACTTTTGAAAGACAAGGTGAAATCAATACATATTCCATAATATCATTTAAATCATTTCATAATTACCGAGTAAAGACAGTAAGCAACTGCTTCACTCTTTCTCTGACCAATTTTCTGATTGGTTCTCCAATACACCATCAAGGAGATGACACTACAAGATTTTCTTCAGCTATTATTTAAAAAGAACTAATACAATCCCTTTGAAGGAATGGAAGTGTTTAATATTTTATTCTCATAATATAACTCTAACATAGCCAGATAATATAATTCTATTCTATAATATAACTGGAGAGAATACAGCTTTGAAGAAACAAAATTAGTCCAGATTAGAGGTTTCAGTTCATTATAGTTAATAAAAATTGAATTATCATATGGAATATTATAATGAGAAGAAAAACTTACAACATCTGAAAAATCATTTTGTCCAATATCCAAACGTTGCAGATGAGCAAGTCTTGCTATTGACTTTGGCAGTGTATTTAAATTATTTTCCCTGAGTTCCAGTATTCGAAGTCTCATGAGACGACCAAAATTTGCAGGCAGAAAATCTAAATAAGTATCGTTCAAGTACAATTCTTCAAGAGAGATGAGCTGAGTGAACCCTTCAGGTAATTTTTCAAGGGGATTAACACTCACATCTACATATGTGAGATGTTTGCACCCTTTAAGGTTGTCTGGAATGCTATTTAAAGCTAAAAAAAAATATATATATATATATATATAAAAATGACCACAAATAATTAACATAAACACTGTAGAAAAAAAAAGAAAGAAAAGAGCAAAAAACTACATACCATTCCTACTGACATCCAAATGATGAAGGTTGATTAGAGAAGCAATAGCTGGGGGCAAGCTATGGACTTCATTGTCACTTAACGACAATACTTTCAATCCATGACAATGAAATAAGGGTCGAGGTAAATCCCTAATCTGCAAATCAAAGGGATCCATACACTCTCTTGCACATTGCCATTGGAAAACATATATATTTTTCTTGTATGTATTATTCACATTATTTATACACAAAATTATGATTGTAGCATGCATATTATCAATGACATAGTGAAGGTCACGCAGTGGACAATCCAGCTTAGGTGACAACAATGGGAAATTTAAATTATATAATTTGTATATTTCCTTAAAAATTACTTTTATTTAACTATGAAACATTCATGCAAAGTATGCATTGTTGAAGATCAAATTCTATTTCAAGTAGTAACAATAATTTGTTCACAAGTTTTATTAGTATTCTTTGAAGCATACCAAACTTTACAAATGAACATCTTTTTCGTTTTTAATAAAAACTTTTTTAGAATATTTTATTACATACATTTTTGTATTTAATTGCAGTGAGAGCAGAAATTACACCAACTCTAGCTACAACACTCTATGTTAATCAGAAAACATAACACAACATCATTGACCTTAACAGTAAAGCAGAGATAAATATCTACTTTTAAAAAATATTGAGAGTTCAGAGTTAGCTTCAGAGGAATCATTTCCTTACTTTTGAATTCTAATTTGGTAAAAAGTAACTTACTCTGTTTGAGTCTAAATGTAACTCTTCCAACGTTCTTTCAAATGCAAATACTTCAGCTGGCACATCATTCAGAGTACAATGTTCATAGTTCAATTGCTTTATATCTGTTGACTCAGGTTTTAAACATGCAAAACAATCCCAAGGCATGATTTCTCACTGAAATTTAAAAAGAAAAAATGACTGCAAAATCAAAAAATCAGATCAACATATATTATTGGAACAATAAATAATTTTGTAACATAGCTAATTGTCTATGAGCAAAGCCATCACTCCAAAAAGCATATTGTTTACATAGAAATCACTACGAACATTATCTTTTATGTTTGTGTTTGTTTGTTTTTTTAGACACAATATTTTATTGTATAGCAACATTTCTGTATTGTGAAATAATACCTGTAATATTAAACATTTGTGCACTTGTCACATTTAGAATTTAAAAGTAAGAATTAAAATAAATTAATTTTCATATTCAAATTTTGAGGTTAATTGCAAAATCCTGTAACACAGTTGAAAATTATGAAGTTTTCAAATTTTAAATAAAAAACAGCACACTAAATAAAACTATTATAAGAAAAACAAAAGAATTTAAATGAATGATTTTGGGAAATCTAAGTTGAATATTTCAAAACTAATGTCTTGAAAATAATTACAGTTTATAAAACATGTACACCCTTCCCAGAAAAAGGACACAATAACCTATATGAACATAGTTAATATTAAATTCATCTTTGTATTTTTTTGACAACAGTCTACAAATATAATTTTTTGAAAACTATGCAATTCATGTTTTTCTTTGCTGTGAGGTTAAGTATAAGGCAGTACAAAGATCTTATCAATAGGAAAATGAAAGCGACAATAATTACCAAATACAAGAGTGTGAAACAATCGCTGTTCACGGGCCTTTCACAGAAACTGTTTTAAAATACACACTTCATATTTACAATTCACTAGCCACCTGTATTTCACATACTCTCACACCAACATACTGAAATTAATCATCCAGGTACGTCGTATTCACAATGCCTTGAAATCTTTGTCTCAGAAAGTAATACAAATATAAATCTCAAAGTAAGTAATTCTTCTTGACATTTGCTCTAATGTCACTTATAACCTATTATGACAACTTGTCACAATCGCATTACAATTTTAAGCGGCTTCGCAATGTTTGCCGCCGTGTTGTTCAAAGCACTTCCACGCCTCTTTCGCAATCAAGTTAAATGTTTAAGCGCAACAAATGATTTGACGGATTTGACAACATTAAGATTATAAAGAAAATTGAAAGACCTTTCTTCACTCATTTGCCCTTCCCACACACTTCGTCAATTGGAGCATTTTGTATGAACAAGGTAACGGTAATGAGGTACAAGCCATATAACACTTTTTTCTCCGAAGACGCATTCGTCTGATTTTCAAGGTGGGATTATATTTTTTTAAAGTGTATCGTTCATTATTTTTTTCATAGTAGGGTCTCTATCATGTAACTTCATCAAAAAACTGTAACGACAGGGGGACACTCGGGACAATAGAATGAAGGTGGGTGAAATCATTATCTCACCAACCCAATTCTTAATCAGACAACCAACGTTCTATATAGAGTGATCAAGGCAAAGTCCCATGGAGTACAGGAATTCTACCGTTCACAACATATGACATAATTATAGAAAATTGTATGAATTATACATAACTATAATATGTTATAATCATGATTAATGTTGCCCAGATACGCTGTAACCAGGCTATGACTACGGCGTGCAAGTAGTGTCACGTCACCTGCGTGTCGCAATCGTTGCGGGTGCTCTTAAGGGGCGGGGTTAGATGGCAAAGAAGGAACTTCCACGGATCATAATACAATGAATTTTTTTTTATCACAATGGATAGCGCCCAATCGATCTGGACGATGTTGTGGTTCCCACAATTTTGAGATGGATCATTTAACTTTGGGGGAACCAAACATGAAGCATCTACATCTTCGAAATTTTCTCAAAAAGTCTCTATTTTTATTTTCTTGGCTAGTATTAATTTCGTAGTAAAGAGAAAGTAATACTGGATCTGTACGTGGCGATTATTTTTCAGAAAAACTCGTATTACAAAGTTCTGGTATCTGGATATATATTGTTCCTATATTAATAACTTACTTCCTCCAAAATCTTGTGTTGTCGGAATCCACTTTTTGTGTGTTCTTGGTCATGAATATTAAAAAAAATGTTCCTGTAAATAGCCGGCGTCATCAGCGGAATTACTTAACTACGTTCCCTAAAGTCACGTAAGTTAAGCAATTGCAGACAACACGGATTCCTGGTCAGGTGACCATCTGGGAATCCTGGTTACCAACAGTGCCGAGTCCCTGGCCGAAAAGATAAAAGGCATTAACTGGCTGCGACGTGACGAGGCAAGAAATTGAAGAAAAATAATTCATAAAGAAAAAGGCAATTTATAACTTTTTTTTCAAAAATTGCATCTATTTTTCTTTAAATATTTTTCTTATGGAGAGCAAAGAAAAAAAAGGAAAAAAAATTGCGCAGGTCTCATTTCTGGTGAACCCTCTTTACTTTCAGAAAATGCAAAAAATAATATTGCAAAACTACAATATTAATGATAGATATTTTTTTCTTTAAAAACATCTTGAAATAAAGTAATGTTAATTTTTTAAAAGTAGTGCTGCTACAAAAGCACATACATTCTTGCATTTCTACCTTTAGCAATTTTCGAAAATTCAAAGTGTTCAAAGAAAATGAGAAGTGTTCCATTTTTAAGCGTCCTTTGCTCTATCCGAGGGAAAACTTTAAAGAAAAACTTTGGCGCCTCTTTGAGAATTAATTTTTTATAAATTGCACTTCCTTCATGCAAAAATAATGCGACTACTACAAGTTTTTCAAAAAACTGTACATGTCTTTATTTAAAGTTTTATTTTATTTAGAACAGGTAAAGAAAGGATTTTTTAGATAAAAAACTATCATAAATTTTGTAGCTTTGTGAAGTTAATTTTTTGAAATTTTCGAAAATAGAGTGCACTTAAAATAGGATATATGTGATTTTTTAGTATTTTTGCTATATCCTAGGAAGAAAATAGAGAAAAAATATGGAGGCGTTTTTGAAGAAATAATTGTTTAAAAATTGCCTATATTTCACAGAAAATAACACGAAAACTACTCATATGATCGAAATATCTAAATTGATGTTATTTGCCACAATTCCCTGTTGCCTCAGAAAATAATAGAGAATTCTAAAAAACTTTATTGAAAAACATTTGAGGCAATTCTATTATGAGTGTCGGCCCGTTGGTTCCGAGTTCTAGTCTCGGAATAATAATTTGCTTCTTGAAAACACTTTTGCTGTTTTATGTAGTAGTATAATGCTGCGGAGTATTTAGAAATAACGTGAGAAGTATGTGCTTTGACAGCACCACTAGTTTTCCTAAAATTTTCTATTCGTATGTACCAGAGGACGGTAAAAATAAATCTACTCTCATTTGCAAGGAATTATCTGTATTTTCGAAAGTGGAAAAAAGTTAATATTCCAAAACTATAAATTTGGAGATTCAAATTAATGTTTCAGAATAATGTTTTAAAAAATCAGATCTTTAAAAAAGGATATGTAGAATTTTAGGCACGTTTATGTCCTCATTTTCGTTGAACTTCTGGATTATTCGAAAAATTCAAACGTTTGATTGCAAGAATGTATGGGCTACTGTAGTTCCACTAGTTCAGAAAAGATCCCATTTGAATATACAGAAATAACATTTCTTTTATTTTTTAAAAACTAACAAAAGTGAAATTGGCTTATAAGTTTTATTTCATTTTTGTTGACTTTTTTGAAGAGTTAATTATATCAGTTCTGAAAATACGTAGAAATATTAATGCATAATAATGCACGAGGTATTTAAATATTTAACTAAAGGTATGAGCAGACATTCATTTTCTATTGAAAACTTGAAGAAAGTCTTAATTATTTATTGCGAGGCAAAATACGATACGTATAATTCTTACTAGGGAACAAACAATTAAACCTGTTCATAAATAGTATTCTAGTAAAATAAACTATACTGATTCTACATGATATTGATTTGCTATGTTTTTATTTTTGAGAAATATACGTAATAAATTGTTAAAACGTTTTTTGTGCCTATTCTACATTTCAAGAAGCCTAACTGAGATACTGAAAGAACCTATTTTAGGCACCTAAAACGCATATTTTATAACCTAAAAATCCGCGGTCTGGTTAACTTAAGTTAGCGGTTATACAATTTCAGGCGCATAACAAACTATCCGGAAATTAATTTAAATCGCCTGAATATTTATTATTGAAGATTACTGACTGTTTTGAGTTTTTCATTGGAAGAAGTTTTGGAAACAAATATCGTTTTGAAAATCGCGTCTGTTGTGGAATGTTGTTGGCTTCGTGACAATAATAGCTATTCTTGAACAATATTGGTTGAAGAGACTAGCCATTGTTACCGGATATTCCCCTTGTTTCATTATATTTTAAAACAATATTCTCTGTAAGGTTCTAGTTGATACGGTCGTATATTTTTTTCTAAATTCATCACATTTTACTTTTTATTACATATTCCTGAATAATACAATTAAATTATTAAAGAATTAGTTGGAACAACCTGTAATAATCCAAAAGCAACGTTGGTCTTTTGTTAAAACTAATTTGTCTTTGGAATATATAGAAGCGCAGACACCGTTCTTTTACAAGAAACATCCTGATAGAAGAATAACTTCTATACAAGAATGTTACTCTCTTTCGACTTCAGAAAAAGTACATGATCGGCAGTATAAGCTATTGATGGTCTTGTTTTGAGAACGAATATGTGAGTCATTAAATAGTATAATATCGTCTAGATGTATTCCCCAATGAACATTGTTCGCCCTAATTGCATCTTCGTGTTTATTTACTTCATATTTAGTTTTATGGGCATTTTCGACTGGAATAAAATATTAAAACTTGTAACAAAAATTAACAAAACCTTAAAAAACATAAATTCGTTTATTGAGATGGACTTTTACACATACTAATACTCCGCATGTTCACCTATTAATTAATTAATTAATCAATTAATCGTTTATTTTTATAAATAAGCAATTTTGTAGTTCTAGTATACATTGAAATCATGTGTTTTAATAAGACTGAGAAACAAAATTTCAGTGTACGTCCCTCAAATCTTGGCGCAGATAAGCGAAAGTAGTTCAAGTATACCATGTACTATTCTCAGATGACATGTAACTTATTGTGTGACAAAGTCAATATTGAGACGTTACGTGTTGTTTATATATTTTGAACAAAAGAACCCAGTGTAAAAGGTCACGTATACTTATCGAAACGTTTGTTTACATTTGGCACTTCTTAAATATTCGAATAGCGCTGTCGTCTTAAAATGATCCTTACCAAATTGATACAAGAAGGTACGGTTTATAAATGTAAAACTATGGGGGAAACAGCTGGCCTTCAGAGACACGTGCTTGCGTTCTTCCATTTCCAACCTTGAAGTAAGATGCTGTTGTAAATATTCCACATCAGTGGTAATCTCTGTTGCAGAACTCAGACGATAAATGTACTCGGAAGTTCTCAGTCTCTAACATTACGGCTTCTACACGACTCTGAACCGCCGTATCACGAAACTTCCCGCATGGATTCATCCGACACCAAGGATCTACGATTTCCGGAGAACTTTCTCTTCGGCGTGGCAACTGCTTCGTACCAGATAGAGGGAGGATGGGACGCAGACGGTAAGTGCTTTCATGATGATGATGATGATGTTGATGATGATATAATAATATAATAATTATAGACAACAAAACATTATTGTATAAAAATATTTCGGGGAACTTTATCTGTAACTTGTTCCCGTCAGGGGGATTGAGACAAAGAGTGTGAATGGTTGTTTGGTTGTTAGTGATTTCGGGCGCGTCAACTACAGAGGTCATTAGTCCCGTACATGTAGTGCATGTTTTTCTCCCACGGGAGGTAACGGTGATATTCCCCTCTTTGGATCCGGCGCCGACCTACCATCGGCTAGCGGGGTTCCCCTCAACCAGATATCTCCCACCAGAGGGGTGCCGACCCTCTCGGGATCATATCTAAGCTCCCGACAGGTCTCCCAGCATGTGTGATAGTGTAGTGCATGGTAGTGTGTGTGTGTGTGTGTGTGTGTGTGTGTGTGTGTGTGTGTGTGTGTGTGTGTGTGTGAAGGGTGAGGATAGGACAGGGAAGAGGACGTGGTCCGTGGCCCGTGGCCCGGTAGTGTGAATGACATTTGTAAGATGTCCATGCGATCTTATGGGAACTACAATCTGCACTTATAAAGGAATTGGAAAATGCATTTTTAGCGGTGATAATACAGGAAAGCGGAAGTTTGTGCTTTGTACAAGATTGACCCAGGATCTCGGTGGTCCGTTGGTTAGCGTGCTCGCTTTACACGGCGCAACGGCTTTCCCGGGTTCGATTTCCGGTCGGGGCAAAAATTTACTGCCCGCTTTCCTTGCAATGTCCCAGTATATGTTGCTGTGTAACGATGAGAAAGCTTACGTCTCAGGTTAAGAACAGGATATGGCGTAGGGATGGCTATGTGCTATCCAAAGTACCCCATAACCCATGGCCGCAAGACCGGAACGCCGCTGGTAGGCCTTGGCTCGTAAAGGGCTGTTGTGGCAAAGTAATACATACATTAATACATACAAAATTGACCTCGGGTCGGATTTACCTACAAGCAAAAATAGCAGTTGCTCAGGCGCCCCGCGCCCAATACAAACGTATCTTATCTTAATTAGGTAGGCGACACACAAAGTATTGCACATTATACATTTCACGGTGTTTTTTGCGAATCAAAACTGGAGGGCGGTAGCGCAAATTAGGCTTCAGTTTCCGATTCGGCGCATACATAAAGAAACATGTGTCAAGTCTGCAAATCGGACAACACCCCCAAAAACAAAACAAAAAAATATTTCGCGGTGTTTTTTCGCGAATAAAAGAAGTGGAGGGTGGTGGCACAACTTTGGCTTCAGATTCGGATTCAGAGCGTCGAAATACTTAGAGAAACATGTTCAAGCCTTTGGGTCTACCAACTTGTGTGTGTGTGTGTGCCTGTGTTATTAATCAACAGCGTATTTGTTCTAAAAATGTTGTACAAAAATTCTGTTATAATTAGTCATTTTAGTGAATAAATAGGATTATTTTCTCGGAGGGGAGCCCCAACAAAACTTTATACTTGGATGCCTTGCAGTACATAAATCCGGTCCTGAAATACCCCTAAAGAAAGGGTGCAGGTCTCATGTTCTTTGGGCGTTTTCCTACAACAATTGTGAAGATAACTATTTTTAATGAAATTTTATCCTTAAAGAAAGATTTTGAAATAAGATCATGTACAATTTTTCGAAAATTTGAGTACTTTTGCGTGAAAATACGGTCGGGAAAGTAAGTGCTGTTTTAGCACCACTAGTTATTTAACAATCTTATTTTGAAGAGCACATTTAATTATGTAAAAAAACTGTATTCAATATTGTACTTTTGCAATGTCAGTTTTTTGCAATTTTAGAAACTACGTAGAGTTCGCCAAATATGGGACCAGCACCACTTTCTTTAGGGCTGTCCATAAATTACATAACGCTAAAGAAGGGGGAGTGGGTTTGAGGCTGAGTTACGCTGTGTTACTTAGGGGTAGGGGGCATTAGTTTAGTGTTACGTAACGTTCATATTTATTTTTTATTACTCCATATTTATTTTTTATACTATACACGTGTTCCACCAACTACGGGCTACGAGAAAAATCTCGGAGAACAGGAACGGATCAAAACGATATGATTAATTTAATTTTAATTATAATTTCCTACTGAAAATCCCAATATTAATTCTACTTTTACTCTATTCTATAATTTGTATTCTTAATGTATTGGTGTATATTCTTTCCAAAAGCTCAAAATTTGTTATTATTTGTTTCTATCGATACAAAAAAAGACACTTGAAAGATTGACAAAGGCCTCGTTTTCCATAAACTCTCTGAAATTTCGAAAATTGCAAAAGGTAGATAAAATGCGGGAAAGTACTGCTGTGGTTGAACTTTCAATTTAATTTTCGATAGTTACGTATTTGCCCCCTGATTGTTAGGTAACTAACTAGGCAAAAAATAAAAACTGTTTTTGTAATAGGAATGAAAATAAGTGTCCTTTACTAATTCGTGGGTAATGAAATTGATGGCTCTCGACCGGTTTTCCGACATGTGTGATATTCTCTTGCGTGTAAGTGTTGTGTGTGTGCTTGCGTGTGTGTAAGCAACGGGTGAGGATAGAACAAGGAAGATGAAGAAAAGATCGCGCGCGTCCGTGGCCCGTTTATTTGGGTGTAGCCTGCAACATTTAACAATGTCCGTGTTGATACATTCGACCAAAACCTTTTTAAGTTCCCCTCCCAAAATGTGTCTCTGGATTCGGCACTGATCGGAGAAACTACGGAAAATTACCAATGAGAGCAGTCGACCGCTAGTTATCAGACAGCAACGGAGCTCATTTCTCAATAGTAATGTGCTCCGTTCCTGTCTGCTAGCGGTCGGCTGCTCTGCAAGGCTAGGTTCAGAAACAAAACTAAACATTTCGCTTCTGCACCACTGTAACAAAATTATTTTCTCGTAAATTTAGTTTCGTTACAAGTGACGATATGAATTTAGTTTCAATAATAAACAGATTGTTGAAGTCAATTTCGTTTCGTTTCTTTATTGAAACGAAATGGAAATGAATTTTCTGGTATTGGGGAAGAAAAGTTATTTCGTTATTTAGTTTCGTTATTAATATTTGTTGAAAGTCGAAGAAAGTAATGAAAGTCGGTAGAGATACATTGAGAAGATTTGGACCACAGGCTACATTTCTGTTGGTACCATTTTGTTTCAAAACTACCTACACACCAGTGATTATTTATGGCGTTTCCCCTATCCTCTGTCGATGATTTCATTACTCTTTAAATGATTCCTGTCTCTTGGTCAATTCTTACTCACAACACTCACCACGCCAGATACGTAATTTTACATAAAATGTTACTATTGTTTCGTACGAATTACAGCGGCAATAACTCAAATAAGGTGGATGGGTGTCCCTCGACTCCCTTCCTTCTGAGTGCGGTAGGAAAAGCCCTCTAGCAGGGTGGCCAATACATCCTGTCTTTTGAAACCCGTATTTCACTTCTCTCATCTGTGGATGGTGTCTCGTTAAAAGAATAACGTGTAGTAAAAGCATTGTAGAATTATATAAAACAAGAAACGTTGGTCCGATGAGTAGCAGCGATAAAGAACAAGCTTCTTGCTCTTGTTATTGTGTTATTCCATTTAAAGAAATCAAGCCTCACCATCCCAGAAAAAAGCCCAAACTTGTATGTAAATTTCTTCAAGTTTTATTGTTCAAAAAAATTACAAACATTTCTATTATAAGTTGTTCACAATTGGAAGCCATTTTTGTTTTAAGCCGCGCGCAATTTTTCGCGTTTGTAGACATGTGCGGTTTTTAAATTACTCCGCGCTAGGTTGAAGTTTAAACTATAATATATTGGATTCAGTTAACTCCGGCCCACCAGTATAAAAGGTATCTAATTACCTAATGTATTTCAATTCGGGTAATATTTGCAACCAAATCTATGAGATGCAAAAAAAAGTAGTTTTTCAAAGAAGGAATAGAGTCATTACCTTAATTTCTTCTGTGCTTTTTACATAACAATATAGTTACATTACATAAAATATAAGAAATGATGATTAGCGCACTAATTAAAAATTACATCCTCCCAAAAATTAGGATTCATTTTTTTTTCTTCAAAGTTTCAACTGTATTATCACTGTTGCGAAACCAAAACAAATTTTGAAATTTGCACCCGCACCCGTAAAAGATCTCTATGAAACCAAGCTGAAGATCTAATTAAACTTTGATAATTATTGTCCATTTTCACTAAAAAAATTGCACGAAAACCACTAACATTTAAAAAAATATGTTCAATATATTGTGTGAGAACTAGTTTGGAGAACAAATTACATTTGAGAAACAATCTCAATCTTTCACAATGTAGTTGTAACAGATGGATAACAAATTATTAACTCTTGCGTTTTTCAAGTTCTTAGTATTTACAGAAAACCTCGGTCCTGTACTATCTTCATAAGTATATTTCAAGCTATTCTTACATTTAAAAAAAATAATTTGGAGCAATTTTTGAGAAATTTTGAAAATGTTCCCGGAGCTTCATATCAAGCAAAACTTTAAAGATGTCCCCATGAAATATTAGGGCTTTAAATCTATCGAGATCGATCTGGGAATGTTCAATGAGACCAAAATTCTACAAATAGTATAATCACTAGAGTTAGAGCGTAGGCTTCCGCTGCCGGAATCAGTATTTAATTGGCAGTCCGGGTGACGCCGCGTCCACGGTAAAGGTGCCAACGTTTCGGTCGCCATTCTGTGACCTTCCTCAGGGCGTCCGCCCTGAGGAAGGTGGCAGAAGCCCTGAGGAAGGTCGCAGAATTGCGACCGAAACGTTAAATACTAATTACTAGAGTTGTTCATAGACGGACGGACGTTTAAAAAACGAGCTTTTTCGGTATTAAGGAAACACGAAATATGGATTCTGACTGCGCTACGTATTAAAGAAAATAATTTACTACATATAGGAGCAAGAGAAATCCTCTTTTACGGTTTCATGGAGCAAAAGAACGAGTTTTTCTGTCAAAAAAAGGTTCCTTTTCGCCGCAACATTATATAATAACTTTCTCCATATTACATACCATAAATCCGTACGTGTTCAATAAAGTAATATATTGTTACATTTGCAAACACAATTGTCAGTACCTCCCAAAATGCTTCAATATCTCACAAAATGAAAAAAATTGCTCTTTTATCAAATTTGCGACCATAATAATAAATGTATCTTTACTACAATTTTCAAGGAAACAGATTCCCATAGGCGTTTAATTAAGTAATATGCTGGAAGCCTTCCGAAAGCGCTCAAAAATAAAGCTTCATTCAATTCTAAGGTACCTGTAGATATTTCTGAGATCTTAAACTGAAGCAAAGGTCAACAAGCAACTTACCATTTTCCAGGACAAGAAATCATCGGCCACGTATGGCCAAGGGGCCTGTATCAAGAAAGACAGAGCCTTTTATAATTTTTTCGCAATAGAATAAGTTGTCCATTTCTACTTCTTTTGTCAATTCCCAAAATTTACATGAACATTTGGATGAGTAATGTGTAGTTGTCTAGAAAGCAAAAATAATTCCGGCAATTCTCGTTTGTATAAGAAAATGAATTGATTTATATTTTATATGAAAAGTAAATAAAATTCTAATATCTTTTGCTTCCACATATTTATTAATAATTTTTTTTATAATAACACTAAGTCATGATTAGAGATACAAATTTGTATTCAATTTGCTATATTCTAAAAAAGCTCATTAATACATCTAAGATATTTATGAGGATTTATGCGCCTCCATTCGTGTATTTTTAGATAATCAGTATACTGAATTATATTTTATGGGTAGTACGGAAATTCAAAAAAATTTAAACAATACTGTTGTATAGTGTAATGTATTGTGTTTGATGTTCTGTAAAGAAAATTTAATTTTGTAAGATAGTTTTGCTTCGAAGAGTGTTTGTCTTAATCGCCGGGGATGCGCCAGTCCGAGCCACCCATAAATGTTTTTTTTTCAATTTTCGAGAAAAAGGTAAGAGAATAAAACAGTGTTGGTGTAGTTTAATAGAATTATGTTTGGTTTTGATTTTTAGTGAAGATGAATACATATTGTTGAATAGTTTAGATTTTACGAGGAATTATGTATCTCAAAACGCGTTGCTTTTTGTTAGTATGTAAAGGATTATAATAATTTGGGGGTAATATTAAACGTTGAAAAATGCACAACAATATTGTTGTATAATGCTTTCCTTTGCGGTAATTTTTGGGTCAAGAAAATCTAATTTTGCTGGAGAGTTTTTTCTACGAGTAATTTTCTTACACATTGTTATTGCGCCTGTCTGGGATTTCGAAAAGGTTAGAGAGAAAATGTCGTTTTTGGAAATGGCGTGCCTATTTCTTGGAGAAGCAATATTTGTTTACTCTAAGATTTTAGAGGTTCCGAATTAAATTAAAGTTTTTTTTCATAAGTCCTAACGATTTTGGGGGTGTTGAATTGTCATTTAAGCTGTTCCACCAAGAGAAATGTCGGCTTCTCAAATGAAATTGCAAAAAAAATTACAAGTGTCCAACATTTTAAAAGTTTTTCTCTTATCTCAACAATAACGCGCTTTATCGAAATGACATTCGTATGAAATTTTAAAGTAGACAAAAGTCTCGATACAATGTATATTTTACGTTATTTTTTTCAACAAATCTTTCAGACGCTAGAGCGCACTGAAAACGGCAAATAAATAAAACGGGAGAAAAACCCTCTCCCGCCCTGTTATCTCGCAGCTGCACTCTAGTTTCGCAACATCATGCTCGTAAACAATGACTAAGCTGAATTTCTTATTTCCGCTCATAAACTATCAACAATCCATCTTCTCGCGGAATCATTAGGGATGCATTTGCTCGCGCGGGGTATTTCAAAACTCGTGATTTAGATTACCAAAATATGTCGGAAACAAGAAAAATGAAAGAGAACATTTGTTCGGTACAATCTAATATTTTCATATAAAATGTTTACCAACAGCATGTTCTGCTACGGTATGATTAATAATGATATAAAAGAAAATTACACTAAATAATACTTTTAATATACGAAACAAAATATAGGATCAGAAAAGTTCATAAATATTTCGTAATGTAAGTTTTAGGATAAAAAGAAATAGAGTGACACAATAACACACATTCTTTGCCGCCGTCAAAGATCGCACTCTGGTGTCGGACGCCACGGAATGCAAGAAGGCTTTCATGAAAGTTTAAGTACGAACTTTTTGACTTTCTTGTATATTAAAAAAGAGAAAACGTTAAAAAACGAAAAAAATAGAACACTTATGATATGATGATATTAAATTACTTCTAAGACGAGGAAAAGAAATCATCCAAACGTAGAGACAGATGAAAGACATTAGAAATTAATAGAATATTTTAATAAATTGTTTGAACTAATTTATGTTTAGTTTTTGAGTTTTATTATTAAAAAAATAAATGACTTTAAAAAATGTCGGTACAAAAAACCTATGAAATTGAAATTATTGTAGTTTTGCGCAGGAAATCGGTGATTTTTTTGTCAGAGAAACTCTTTTGTGTCAGAGAAACCCTTTAAACGAAAAAGTAGATAAATATTGTTACTATATAGAGAAAAATACTTCCTCTAATACGTTGTGTAGTCAAAATCCATGTTTTGTGGGTTCTTTATTTAAAAAAATCGATTGACTGCAAAACGTCTGTCTAGCGCCAAAACCGTTTATCAGACTTTCTCCAAAAATGATATTTTCTGATCGATTGAAAGGAGCTTAAGGACATGCAAGTTTGAAAAGAATATTTGATTTTTTGAGGTAATTTATGAAGACTCAATTACATTTACAAAATTGGCTACAAATTGTTTAATGACACTTTGTCTTTGAATAGCCTAAGGAATGTGTAAAAGATAGCGCATGTCTCATTTTCGTTATGATCCCTGATTTTTCGAAAATTGCGAATGTTCAAAATTTTTTCGAAGTCTTCCAACAAAGACAATATTTAAGATAGAGTTTTTTTAATGAAATGTGTTGTTCAATATATATATATATATATATATATATATATATATATATATATATATATATATACAGACATACCCCCCTAATTCGTCTCTGGATCTGCCCCTGGCTATATAGTGCTTACATACTATCGGATATTATTCATTATATGATATTTTTAAGTCCGTTGTGAACAGTTTGTTATGTCGGTTACGTTTCCTGTAACAGAACAAACTACTTATCGAGTGTTGTGGGAAATAGTATGTACAGGTGTTCTTGATCAACTGCAATATTTTAATTTTTGGCATACTATGTTTACAATTGGAACAGTTGATCCGTAAATATCAGGAAAAATAGTTGTTGGCTACTAGCAAAATTAATTTCAAGAAAGCGGTCAAATAACCCAGGTAAAATGATGAACAATCATGAATTAATCTACTTTTTTGTCTTCATCATTCAATTCTTGAAAACGATAGTCTTTTCTTAGTTTATATTTTTAGTATTTTTAGATAGGAACGAAGAAGATCACATTACGTCCGTGCCCCTAATGATATCTTAGTTTTTGAGGTTTTGAACACTACATAGAAAAATTAAAACATTTCGGAGTGTTCTACTCCGTGAATATCTTTTATAAGGAGAGACTGTAATTAGTTGTAATACGGCAAAGTAAATATATACTATATGTGTTTTCAAACCAAACAAGAAGACAGGGGTCATTTTGACTGAGGAGAGGAAAGAGATCCATCGGTCAAAATGAAAAAGATTTTGAAGCAAAAAAGAAGAAAGAGGCAGAAAGTTGAAATAGACGTTGTCCATAGTGGCTCATTCGAAGGATAAATTATGTTTCATTTATTCGAAAAACATATAAGAATATAAAATACTAATTTATGACAGTCTTTAAAATTACAATACAATCGATTAGGAACATTATCAAAAGTTGAATAACGAAAAGTGCAGAAAGGTGACGGAAAGCCAAAAAAGTCAGGCAGAAAAAAAAAGAAAATTGAAGTCTGAGTATCCATAAAAACAAAAAAGTGCCCAAGTTTAACCCCTCAGCGTGGGCGAAACACAAAAATGCGCTGGCTAAAGGAGATAAAATTTGGGAAAAGGAGGGTTTTTGAAATTGACCCAACTTTTTATGTAAAACTTCGGTTTCATAGTAAATTTATGTCTTTCTATGTTTATCATTACCCTACTCTCTACATTTTCCCAATTTATTTTCCATTATAAGGCGGATGGCCTAAAGTACAACATACACAAAGTACACAAGTACAGGTGTCTCAAGGTACATGTACCCCTATAACTTGAGAGATATTACACATGTTTTAAATCGAACGTTTCAACTGAATTATGTAATGAATTTCTGCAACAATTACTGTTATAAAAACCTAGTAAGACTTTCGATTAGAAAACAAAAAATGCACATTTTCTACAACAGAGTGTTCAAACGTGACCATAAAATGTGGCGTAAGGTACAAAGGTAACTACATGTAAATTAATTTCCTAATTATATAAATATCGCCAATGTGATGTACACAATCGGCAATGAATTTTATATAGTACATTTTGTAGCTTAATCTCTATTTGTAAGTAGTATTTTTTCAACTAACAAAATACTTGTGCATATGTCTGTAGCACATGTAACTTGATATATTTCTTTATTTCAGGAAAAGGTGAAAATATCTGGGATCGATATACGCATGAACATCCTGAATTTATAGCTGATAGATCAAATGGTGATATCGCTTGCGATTCGTATAATCAATATAAAGAAGACGTTAGACTTGCGAAGGATCTGGGGGTAAGTTGTAATCATTAACGTTTTTCATTTCCAAGAGAGAACTACGCTCCAGTGCTACATCAAATAAATTTAAGACGACACTAGTAGTGCTACTGTTGCACATACTCTACTAACCTGCTGATTTAGCTCAGATCCAGAATTACTGATGTCCGTACAGAGACTCTGCCCGGGAGTTCCTAGGGTTTGAATCCTGACGGTGGCTAACTTTCGACACTAGGTTGAATTTAGCCATTGTCTAGAGGAGAATTCTAGTTCTGATCGGTAATTTTCCGTAATTTCTCCGATCAGTACCAGGCGAATGCTGAAGTAGTACCCTAACAAATGGGCCACGGACCTCGCGCCATCTTTCCTTCCTTTTCCTTGTGCATTTACTCGCACACTGTTTTTAAACAATTATATTGTCAAAAACGGCTTAACATTTTTTTCCAAATTTTCTCTTCGTATGTATCAAAAGAAGGTAAAAACGGTACTGGTAAGGTACCATAAGAAGGTAAAAGGAAGAAGGTAGAAATGGTCGTGCGTACGTAATTGGTTTGTGTCGTGCTTAAATGTTATAAATAATGCAAGAAACACATACTTGTGCTGTTGTAACATCTTAGCTTCAGCGTCAAACACCGAGAAAACGTGAATTCTGTCTTCATATTGTGTTAGAGCAAGTAATTAATACGTAAACGAATAAGCTTTATTCACTTTTCAATATCTGCGCCCAACAAGACGGTTTTTATGAAGATGGAATTTATGAAATGATGATCGCCGATTTCTGCCGCGGCATTACAATACTTTCTTTTTATTACATAAGTACGTAAAGGGGAAGAAAGTAAAAATATATAACAGATATCGGAAACTCTGATTACCTACGTAGGCTTAGATGAAATCTTGCATATCCAGCGATTGGCTTCCGGTTTGTACCAAACCACTCTAACGAGTTTTTCCTACACTGGAACTGTGATATCACGATCCTAGCGCTAATGGGAACACGACAGATTGTTCAATATCCTAAATGTTGTTTTTTGGTATCACATAGGAAACGACCTACAACCCTTCTCTCGCAGTTTTGTGGGCCCTTCTCTCACTCCAGACTCTCAGAGAGTTGGGACGTGGTGTAGAGACTTCGCAAGGGCGAATATCTTACATGGCTATACGTATGACACTAATAATATTAAAATTAAACCTATTGTAATGTAGGTGGAAATAAATTACAATTTTACCAATTTAAAAAATTAATATGAACATATTCCTTCATATTTATGAATTATTGTAACATTTTATAAAACAATAATTGGGGGGATTATATAGGAGGGCGCCTAAGAGTTGTTTAGCCTGTTTATGAATTAATTCACCTCTTCACAAACGTCATGATTCACAAGCGGTGCGTCATCCCAGAACGTTCAGTGGTTGTAAAGATTCGCATCGACCATAGAAGCTCGTACGAACTCAAATGACAGCAAGTGACGATTTTTGCAAGCTAACAACGTTTTGAGGAACATTCATTAAAATATACTTACACGTTGCCTTGAAACAAACAATTGTTGGTAATTTGTTGGAACAATCTCCCTAAAACAGCTGTACCAGAGTAATTGAATTCACATGCAGTGAAAAAAGTGAATAGGATACATAAATGACGAGCATCATTTCTTGTGGCAGTTTTGTTAGAAGATTTCGACAAAGGCAGAGAAAAATGTGACTTTAACGACTCTTATACTGCGCCATCAAAGTACAAGTTAGGCGCGGCGAGCCGAGTCAGTGCAATGTTCGAATTGCCCGGATTTCAGGCATAATAAAAACAACTGTCTTCTCCAACCATTGTGCGAAAGATTCCTACATGCAACACTGATTGCAGGTCCATTATCTAAATACGCACCATCTAAATGTACTAACTGTGCCTCTACAACCCCGGAAGCAAATCATAGAACAAATGCTCGTGATTACACTTAAAATATATCTCTAATATTCCGACGTCCTGTGTAACACCGCTCTTTATGTTCAACAGCAAAGTACTCCTCTACCTTCATTAAATATCGTCACACACATTCCCAAAGATACGCACATAATTTCAACAAGTCCTTTTAGGCATTATCAACCATTCCTATATCCTCTAACAATCCACACAAAACACTGAATTTACCGCATGCACCAAGTACAAATTATTCGAATATACCTGGCCTTAGAAATAAAAAAAAATATTCACAAACTCTGAAAATCTTCCCTCCGAACCAACTGCACTCTTGACTTCCGGTATCTCATCTCTCTTAACTTCAATTATGCTCTTTGGAAAAGTACCATCGAACAACTATTGACAAATGTAAACCAAATAATATTCTCTGTTATGTACGTGAACACAAAACCAATATTACATTATCTAACAATCACTATGTAGAATGCTGATGGTCATACAAAAATGGCTCGAAATTCTTTAACTTCCTCTAATTTCGTTACACTGCCAGCTTGTATAGCCTTGTAAATGAAAGCGTATGTATAAAGTAGCATTTTACATCATAGAGGAATTTCGTTCGCCTCGTTTCATTATTTATAGGTCTAAAAATTTCGAATATATAGTTAAATAGATAGATTCCAAGAAAAACAAAATATTTAATAATGTATCTACTCGTACCTACTGAATTTACTATATGTTTGTATTAATCGAAACCTTGTGATTTTTTTAAAAAAAGCTAAATATTTTATGTATATGAAAGTTCTTTTATTTTTTCAGTCTCATTTCTATCGATTTTCTATTTCTTGGGCAAGAGTTCTACCTTATGGAACAATAGATAAAATTAATGAAGCAGGAATCCAGTATTATAGTAATCTCATCAATGAACTCTTGGCAAATAATATAGAACCAGTTGTAAGTATTACTTATAATAGTCATTTAAATGTGACTCTATCATAGGAAAAGTTGTTAAAAACAATGTGTTGTACATAGGTGATTTTTTAATCCATATATATTGTAGATAATACTTGGGTAGAGGAAGTTTCAATCATCGAGAGCAAAGTAATATTAATTTTAACAATGACATTTAATGTATTATTTACCATTTGGACTGTATAATTCTAAACAACCTGAAACAAGTATTGTACCGCAGCTTCTGGATATATGATCGCCATCTCTATCAGGTTTTCCGTCCAGTTTCCCTGATCCTTTGAGCAAATGCTGAGATGGCCCCTTGTTTTGCTTCTGGACATAAATGTAACTTCAAAATCTGTGCACGTCTTCTAGAATCCAGTAGGAAATATAATTATTCAAATTATCGTTCTTCATTTTGTCGCGGTAGGAAGTATTATTCCTTCATGACAGACATGATGAGAGATAAGAGACCGAATTTATAGCTGATTTACCCTTGAAAATAGATTTCATTTCATCGGAGCGAATATTTTATTAACAATCTTTGCACAAAACGCTCCTTTCTTTCTGTATTAAAAAATCAACTAGTATATGGCGAGGGGTATGGATATCAAGATTATGAAAACTTGTACAGATTTCACTTCTTCCTGTAGCACGTCACACACAGTTTTTAACTGTTTTTGACGTAAAGTAATTAAATAAAAATAGAAGTTAAGATCTATTAACTAATAAATGTTAAACGGAAACGTTAAACTTTAACTGTTAAACGGAAGTTAGGAATTTTCTAATCAAAACCACAAACGCGGAATGAAGCCGGCGATGGTGTAACGAACTGTTGTACCCGAGTTGGCGGGTCCAAACCCGATCGAAGCCGTGGGTTTTTTAAGGGCGAAAACATCCTTCGTACGCCTTCCTTCTGAGGGGAAGTAAAGTCGGCTGTCCCTAAATGACGCCTCTGAGCTAAATTCAAAAGCCTGTTTCTCACCCCAAAATACCTCCTTTCTCTGCTAGCTGGTGAAAGGAGTGTAGCGAAATTTTTGTGGTCAGACGGAAGAGCGGGCCTGATGGCCCGCATTTCGCCACGTAAATAAGGCATTAATTCAATTCAATATTACTTCACATTCCTACTCACAGCATGCTCTTTAATATTTTTTTACAATAAATATTAATAATAATTATCATCATCTTATGCCATGAATTTTTTTGCTGTAGTAAAGCAATATATTTTCAGGTTACCATTTTTCACTGGGATTTGCCGCAAAAACTACAAGAATTAGGCGGATGGACGAATCCCAACCTGGCGTATTTTTTCCAGGATTATGCTGAGCTGTTGTTCGAGAAATTCGGTGATCGGGTAAGCTTCTTTTATTTTTCTCGTTGGATAGAGTAATATTGCATCTACTCGTGTCGATATTTTGACAAAAGAACACTTGGGTTCCTGATACCACGAAGTATTATTTTTCTTTCTCGTGTTCGTAGTTTATATTTTATATATAAAATAGGTGCTTTGGGGAATCCCTGACATCGAAGCAGTGTTTTTTTTATCTCTCTCAAAACATCTAGATTTACAGAATTGCATTCTGTTATCTCTTTATTAAATTCGAATATATCGTAAATATTATTTACCAAAATTGCAATAATTCTGAGGTTTTTGTCTTCTAACTGACAAACTCAAGCTTTGTCTTGGTGTAATAATTTCCCTAGAGCGGCAAATCTATTAATCTGGTATTGTATATTGAGTTCTGGGGTTACTTTCTTTTTCAGAAGAAGGTCTAATTCTCCTGAATCTTTTCTTAATCTCTAATTCTCCTGGAATAATTTCCTTGGTTTTTTAACACTGTTACCACGTAGAAACGACTCACTATTATTGTCAGAAATGTCTGCTTAGCCGCTCTTTTGCTGAGATAAGTGTACCAACCTAAAGGTTTCCGGTTCTGGTCAAGTGGTGCGAGCACTTTCTGCACCTTGCTGAACATTTGAAAACTGTCCGTTCTGGATATTTGAGATCAACTGTAAATTCTTTGGTAGATCATGTGGACATGAAATTCGAGATGTCGTTGTTGAATTTCTAGGTTCCTGGATGTGGAATTCATGGTGATCCAACTGCCATGTAGAATTTTCATGGCTCCTGCAATGCTGTGACCTAGGTTACAGGATGATTCTACCTAAATAAATCCTATTGCTAAATATAGAAAAAAATCCTCTAACACTTTTCCTCACAATTCCTATAATTGCAAATTTTGAAATAAAGCGAGAAAGTATGTGCTGTTATAGCACCACTAGTTTTTTTTCTGTAAGCGAAATGCTTCTGCAGTAACAACATATTTGTTATAAACACGTTACCCGCATCCTCATTACGAAAGCAAATGTTGACTACAGGAACACACTTGGGAAGCTTAAATACGGATACGTGGTACAAATTAAATGAGTTTGCTTTCTCCATAGTATTGCAAATGGATCTCCCCTTTCCTGTTTTTAAGCGCAAGTTCCGAAAAATATTGGATGTCGCAGACGTGTAGCACTTCGAAGATTGTCTGCGTGATTCTCTGCTGGTCATTGAGTTGCCCCCTGTGAACCATTGCCCTCATCGCAGCCAAACACAAAAACGTACTTTTCCAAAACAACTTACGTCCAGAAGGCCAAGCAACTTTCCTTTTATATTTGTTTTATTAATGTAGAATCACACTCTGAACATTTTTTCTTTGGAAATATTGCAGTTGTACAGTATGTTTTCAGAAAACTTTATTCTTACATACGATATCTGATTTCACATATTCTTATCCTTTTCTTCACATGTTTATGTATATATTTCGCTCTTTTTTAATACTACAGATTTTTCGTGGCGCTAATAATCGCTATGTACTCTCCACTAATAGTCCCGCATTGCGTTTCACTAGTCATTTTATTCTGCTTTAAATGTTCTATTTTGCATTAATTAAATGTTCCAAATTGCATATTTATAACTTTGGAGAATTGTTCACGAGATTTTATCAATATGTCTTGGCCATCGTTTCGTACAAGATTATCGTATCCGTTCTCCATACACAGGTTAAGTATGCGCAGTCACTTGCAATCTTTCAGTGTCTTTCGGCTGGAACCCGATTTTAAATCTTCCAGGAGTGTGAGATAGGGTTCGAAATCAGAATCACTTTCTCCTTGGAAGAAGTCATGCCTTTTATTTATTTTTATTGCTAATCACTGTTTCATATTTGCAGCGACACGAATGATGGTCTTCTCCATTGACATAAAGTAACTATCACGTACAAAAATTACAATACTTATTTTTAGGTAAAATGGTGGATAACTCTAAACGAACCAGGACATATAGCCAGATCCTATACAACAAAAGATCTTTTATTAGCACCTTGTCTTGATCTGCGTCACCTAGGAGCTGACTATATGGCCGTTCAAACATTATTAAAAGCTCATGCTATGGCGTACCATGTGTACAGAAAAAAATTTTGGAAGTTGCAGAGAGGTAAGTAGAAAGTAATTAAGAAATTAGATTGATGAAAATGAAGTATGTAACGCGAATAATTTCTAAAAAGATTTTCTTTACCAGGCAAAATAGGAATAACATTGCACACTTTTTGGTACGAACCTCTGACTAATTCAAAAGAAGACGCAGAAAGTGCTGAAAGTGCAATACAGTATGATGTATGTACTTCACTCCCTAAAATGTTTGCATCCCCTCATATTTAATATGTAGATAATAAGTAAATTTTCATTTGTAGTTGGGAATTTTCAGTCACCCTATCTTTAGTGAGCAAGGAGATTTTCCGCCCATTGTGCTCAAAATTATGGAAGATCACAGAAAATCAAGCAAATTGTCATTACCTTTTCTACCTTCATTAGGAGAGGAATGGATCCACAAAATAAAAGGTGAAACAAACTTAAATATATTTTTAGAATTATTTAGCATGTTTTTAGAATTATGAGATTATGATCATAAAATGTGTTCAACCAAAATGCGCAAATGTCTAATATTAAGAAACAATGTTAATTTTGCTCACTGGTGTCCAATGTTCTTCAAAAATTAAATTTCTTTCAGAAACGTACAGCAACATTTATCTGATTCATAACTTTAGAAGTTCTTCAGAATGTTTGCTCAACACTTCTTTGTTAAAATAATGTTAAATATATAATTCCCTCTGTAATACTCCCGGATACATCAGATACGTGTCTTAGGATTCTAATCACTGATATGTTTGTAAAACAAAAATAGGTACGGCAGACTTTCTAGGATTGAATCATTATACAACAAGATGGGCACAACCAGGAAATCCTGACTGGTGGTTACCGGACTTAAATGTCACACTCAGTATAGAGGAAAAAATTCCAGGAGCAAAGTCAGTGTGGCTTAAGGTATGAAAATGGAACACCATTTATATTTTTTGCATTCACTTTAACAGTTAAAATGTACCGTTATCGCACGTTGGTATTCTTAACTAGTATCATATAGACGCAATGTTTGTAGTAAAATTTTCAGGTGTACTTCTAAAATGCATTTTTATCTAAAATTTAAAAGTAATTATGTAGGAATTCTATAGCTTCTTTAACGACAGTCTATTATAATAGGGATTCTGAAATAGTGTAGTACATATACAGGGCTGAAAATTTTGATTTACCTACAAGTACCCTTTCCATTTCCTCTTTTCTGTCTTGAGATTTTGTATAAAATAAGGGCGTTCCGCCCGAAATGTATCCAAACTTTGTTCCTATTGTCATAGCCGTTGAAAAGATGAATGCCCAGGGTTGCATCGATATCCACAGTTTGGGAAGATTAGAGATCGTACTTGCGCCCAAAGTGACCTTCAAATGCATTTTCGGGAATATTTATTCGAAACTTAACGCATATTTTTCTGTTAAGAACTACCTCCAAACTTTCGTGAGCATACTTGATTCCTCCGTATACCCATGTATTGATTTCACGCGAGAGGCAGTTCCGTAGTAAGCTTGTGTATTGTGTTAATTTTTTTTTAATTTTATTTTTACGCCAAAAACATTTAAAAACTGTGTATGACGTGCTACGAAGAGAAGTTAATTTTTTCACGTTTTCATAATCTTATGATCCCTACCCTAAGCCACATTGTAGTTGAATTTCGAATACAGAAAGAAATAAGCGTTTTTTTTCAAGGATTGTTAACAAAATATTCGCTCCGATGTAATAAAATCTATTTTCAATGGTAAATAACCTATACATTTGGGCTCTTATGAAGTTACATTTATTTTTACATTTATATTCAGAAGCAAGACAATGGCATTTGCATAAGCATTTGCTCAAAGGAGCAGGAAAACTGGACAAAAAACCTAATTGAGGTGGGGGTCATGGATCCATTAGTCGCAGTACAATAGTATTTGTTGCAGGTTGTTTAGAATTATACAGTCCCAACGGTAAATAATACATAACAAACCATAATTAAAATTAATGTAACTTTCCTTTTGATGCTCGCTCGATAATTTGAAAATCAAGAAGTAAGGTAATAGTAAAACTCCTAGATTAATAAAGAGAGGCTTACATGATTCACGTGGGTGGAATTTGATTATTATTCGTACAATTCTTTTTTGTAATCTAAACGTCTCGAAGCTATAAAATGTATTTCCTCAAAATTGTATGCCCTATCACAGGCGCGAATGAAAATTCGCGAAATATACTAAACGAGCAGTATGAAGACTGACTAAATTTGAAAGAATTTGCGTAGCAGAATGAACTTAATCTTCTGTTTCATTAATTTAAATTGACGTTCCATTTGAGGTTTGACTGAATTGAAAGACCTAAAAATGTTGTTCCTTTAACATCAGTCAATGGCACACTTCGTTTTCAGTAAAGAGCAGAGCTATTTACTTGAAATGGAGAAGTGCATTGAAACAGTTTTCTTTTCATTTATTATTATTATTGTTTTTATTACGGAACCAATTTGAAATATCTGATATTGTACTACTTACGGTTTCTTTATTGCAAAGAAAATTCGTATCATCCACAAAGAAAACTGTTCTTCCGTTTCTAATCGTCGAGGGCGTATCGTTTACATACAGTAGGAAGAGAATAGGGCCTAAAATCGATCCCTACGAGACTCCATATACAATTGGCAAAGAATCGGAAAGGTGTGTACATAATGGTCCATTATTGCAGTAACGTATTTCTACTCTCTGGGATCGTTGTTTAAGGTACGAACATAACCAATCTAGAGCTATACCACGAATTCCATAACTAACACTTTTGCCATCTTTACATCAGTCAATGGCACACCGTCTATTTTCAATGGAGTACAGAATTGTTTATTTGAAATGGAAAACTGCATTAAAACAGTTTTCGTTTCATTTGCTATTAATTGGTAATTACGGAACTTACTTGAAACATCTTATGTTGTACTAGTTACGGTTCCTTTATTACAAATAATATAAAGAAACCGGAAATAGTAAAATATCAGATGTTTCAAATTGATTCCGTAGTAACAAATGAAGAGCAAATTGATCAGTGAATTGTGGCGTCTGAGGCCCAGTCTCCCATGCAATATCTACCTATTCATTACAGATGCTAAAACATAGTGAAAATAAAATCTAAGGTTTATAGAAGTAATTATCTTCAACACATTTAATAAAATACTGTAAATATTTATCAGACAGTTCCATGGGGTCTTCGAAAGCTCCTAAACTGGATTAAAAATTCTTACAAGAACCCTCCTGTCTTCATAAGTGAAAATGGATTTTCTGACAGTGGCGAGCTTCACGACGTTGGGCGAATTGATTACATGACGGTAAGGTATTGAGTGCAAATCCTCGTGATGGAATGAAGGCGACAATACAAAAATTTAATTTATTTTTATTTGTGTTCACTGATTAGAAATACATGCGTGAGGTGCTGAAAGCCACTGTCCTCGATGACTGCCAAGTCCTGGCGTATGCCGTCTGGAGTTTAATCGACAACTTTGAGTGGTTTCAAGGTTATACGTAAGTGCAATAAGCAAATACTACAAGATCATATTAAGATAACTTTCAAAGTAAATGTTTGTTTCCCATGGGTTTCCAGTGAACGCCCGAAGCAGAACTTCCACAAGCCCATTGGAACGTGTCCTCTTATTTCATACCTAAATATGACACTTGGAATTCAAAAGTATTGTGTTTCCCTTTGTGATGTAAGCATGTACCACAGGTGGTTCAGAGTAAATACTACAAACGTCAAGTACATGTAGAAGATTGAAGATGATCATTTTTGTCACTGAACATGTGGTAGAAAATATGATTTAGCAAAGTTACACACGTGATATGTCTGCTTGCGTACCTCGTTCCTCGGCACCTCGCACTGCTTCGGACTGGCTTAGGTGGTTGAGGGCATCAATTGATAACATTGCAGTGCGCCAGGACGGGAGGTTCTAGGGGGTTCGAGTCCCGTCGGTGGCAGGATTTCCGACACTAGCTAGGTCGAATTCAGCCGCTGTACAATGTGAAATTTTGGCAATGGAGGAGGGAAAAAGTCAGAATATTTAAAACTAGATATGGTTTACAGTTCTATAAAGTATTTATTAAAAGTAATATATAATTTTAATACACAGAACAATATTATTTGACTGCAACAGTTTTTTTTGCAAATATATAAAGTCGGTCAAAAGCTGTCAATATACGAGGTGAAAAAGTAAAACCCAAATAGAAAAAAAAGTATATACATAATTAATAAATTGAACAAATGGTTGTATTATTAATTGTAAATCAACAAGTAAAAATAAAAATATAGATTAGCCAAAAGGGGAAGAAATTAAAGAAATAGAGAGAAAAATAATTATTACGAACCGGTAAATGATTACTCTCTATTTGATGAATCTTCTTAAGAGGTAAGCGCATTTATTTCTGCGTCTCGTTGGTCAATTTCTGGAGAATTAACTATTGCTCGGCTGTATTTTTACTTTTCCCGTATACGGAGTAATACTATACGGAGTAATACACCTAATATAAGGAATGTTATACTGCGGAAAATCGATTTCGAGATTTCAACGGAAATACACGTTCGAGGGCCCCTTGATATCGAAAGTGTCTTTTATTTATTTTTTTTCTTTAAAACGTCCGTCCGTCTGTTCCTCCGTTCGTCTGTTCGTCCGTCCGTCCTCTGTGTGTTCGTCTGTCAACACCACTAGGACCGAAACCATACGCAGGATTTTTTTCAAAATGGATATTCTCCGGTCGATCTGGCTTGACTCGAGGCGCTGTGGTTTTCAAAAACTTTCTTCAAAATTTTCTCAAAAATGGCTCCAGATTTTTTCTTTAAATTTGTCGTAAAAATAGAGTAGAATACACTTACAAAAGTGCCATAGGTCCAATTTTCAAGGTTAATTCTAAATTTTCGAAAATTTCAGTATTTTTAAAGTTTTCGGTCGTTTTCCTACACCTACATAATTGAAGATAGACATTTTTCCTTCAACTACAATATGTTCTTCATTGTGTGTTCTTTCAATAAGGTCATGTATTTTTTTTTAATTTTAGTACTTTTCACGCAATATTGCGAGAAATACGTGCAATTAAAAAAATTACAAAAACATGATTTTCTCAAAAATAGCTCCAAATGTTTTCTTTAAACGTCTGGTGGGGACAGTGCTAAATGCACACCATGACATAAACTCCACATTGGTTTATTCTTTTGTTCTTTCAAAATTTACAATAATGTAATTTTATTGTCTCTCACGTGGTTAATATTTATACTAGCGACAATTTGTTCTCATTATTATATTTATGAGTATGGGCTTTAAATAATGTCATACAAAGTTTCTCGATAACTCGACCGTTTTCTGTGAAAACTAGAACAAAATTCCACATTTTCAGAAATGCTCACATGCCATTTTGTCAAAAACGGCTCCAATTTTTTCTTCAAACTTTTCGTACGGATAGTGCTAATTGCACTCTTTACAATGCATTCAATTCATTTCGGGACATTTTTTTCAAAATTACTTAAGTGTATTTTTTAAAAATATCTGTCTGCGGTTAATATGCACATTTCCAAAAAATTGTAAATACTATTGTATTTGTGAGTTAAAGTGCTTCAAATGACTTCTACGAACATTACGAACAAAAACACTAAAAGGGAAAAATGCGTGAAAATGGAAAAAAATGACGCAAAGATCCAAAAATAACCTAAAAATTGAAAAATGACAAAAAAGACCTACATAACTATATTTCTATCACCTACATATCATGATAAACATTCATATACAAGTTAGCTACTGTGGCTCTCAAAATTGATCTACCCTCTGTAAGAAAATACAAAATGGCATAGAAAAAATATTTATTGCAGAATTGTGAGGTACAAATTAAATATATGTATTACTGCTAATATTCTTCACTCATACATTACAAAAATATCTTGTAATAACTGAATAAATAATAAATAAAATTTGTCCTAATGCATATACAATTCACCACAAAAAATTACGTTCACTGCCAAATTGTCGTAGAGAAAAACGAAGTCAAGATTTGGTGGAACTACCTTTAGAACAAATGCCAATCATCAGTCTTGATGGCATTGATCTTACAAGCTTCCTTGTAAATTCAGGCGCGATTTTCTTTCATTCTTCAGAGAGGATTCTCTTGAGTTCTTTTTTATTCGAAACTTTATGAAAGTTTTTCCAATTCCCTCCAAAAGCTCTCAAAAGGATTGAGATCGGGTGATTGAGGCAGCGTTTCAAGGCGCTTTGGTACATTATATAAAAATCATAACTTTCCAATACGCACTTGAATATAGTACACGCGTATGAATGAACGCGCTGTCCTGCTGAAAGTAATATGTCGTCTCTAGTGCAAGATTAGCTGCACTTCGTTTGACATTACTTCTGAAAATTGATACATTTCCAAATTTGTCAACTGTGGAATCAATAAAATGGAAATTCCCGCAGGCGTACAGCGTCATACCATTAGGAGCCCATGCCGTGCTTTAAAGTTGCACGCAAATTTTTTATCTTCTAAGGCTGGTTTACCTTTCTCCACTGTTGCCCATCTGAGCTAAATATCTTGAATTTACTTTCATTGCTTTCAACACTGTTTGCCAGTGCTCCGAATGGTGGTTTCTGTAATATTTCGCGAACTGCAATATATTGTGCAGATTTGCCTTACTAATCCAAACTTCTCCTTCGCTACTCTCCCGTGGGAAACCGCGTCTCGTAGTGCCTTTCGGGCAGTTTCTGCGGATACAGTTCTCCCTATTGTTGAAATCACCTACGGATTCATTTTAAGGACACTTTCGCGAGGATTCCAGCCAATGTTATTGACAATATTTATTTTATGTCGTTCGTATCGGATTTCGGCCTCAGCCTATTTTATAAATTAATCTGCCATCGTACTTGAATTGGTCTACCAAACCTTGAATATTTGAATGAGGTCTTTATAATATCGCAATACCTTGTAGCGCTCTTTCCCTCACGGCTAAGTTAACAATTAGTCTTCTTTCTTCCGCCGTTTCCCTTCTCGGGGCCATTTTCAAGTCGATGTTGGTCTCCGTAAATCTGACCATCAACTAATCTGTTTGTCACAACTTTGTACCTAAGAAATCATTTAAACGGGTAGGTATCAATGTGCGCTTGCGATGGTGTACGTTTATTTCTGTGCAACTCTTATTTGTTGGTATCACATAAAATATTTATTTTTACTCCTAATAAAGCAAATTTCTGCGTTCAAACTGCACTAGTCCTTCCAGGGAACCTCAAATATCAAAATTGCATATATCACTTCCAGAATATTCATATGCGAAGAAGTATGGTACCATTTAAGGTGTACAGTAAAGGTGTACATTCAATTTTGAGAGCCACGATTCATCTACAATGCATCAATAAAAACACGACATGTCATCATAATCGGAGCCCTGGTCATCACAATGTATTAAAATAAAAATGTTTGCTACTTCAACTCCATTTCATGGAGTGTCATATCAGGATATTGAGAAAAAAAATCCTATAATTTCATCGGTCACTATGCCGCACCATACATTCACTCTATACTGACGCTGGTGTTCTACACGCCGGAGCCCGTGTGGATTCTCCACAGCTCGGTAATGCATGTTTCTTCAATTCATGTTGCCCTGGTTAGAGAATGTTTGCTTATCAGAAAATAATACACATTCTGAAAACATGTTATTATCCCGTATCTGACCCAGAGGAAATCCACAAAACTCCACGCGCCTTTCAAAATCTTTACATCCTAAATCTTGATGAAGGCAAACATGATAAGGATGAAATTTATGGCGGTGTAGAATGCGAATCACACTGACAGTTAATAAATCTTTACAAAAAGGCCTGCAAATGTGTTTGTCTGCAGATGATGGGCATTTTATATATATGCTCAAATAAATTGATTAGTAATATAGAGTGTTTACATTTTTGTATATTTACATAAAAGGTAAATACATACCTGTATTTATATTTTTACTATATTTTTATTTATTTATATTTATTAATTCTCTCACTGGAATTTTCTACCCCTAAGTGATTATTATATGCTCAATAACATTAAAATTCTATGCTCAAAATGTGCAATATTCTTTGTACAATCTTAATTATTCATTCTTATTGTGTTTTGTTCCAAGATCCCATTAATATTTTGGGGTATGACACCCCATTAAATGGAGTTGGAGTAACAATTTTATTTCAATCTTCAACTATTAAGTAAAATAAAAAAATCTGAAAATGAGGAAGGATGGAAAGCAGAGTTCAGGAAAAAATTCCGAAAGTTTTTTGAACATTTGGAATACGATTCGTATCTTCAAATGATTCGGTCAACCTCCGTTGTCCTAGCGTGATAGCTGGGGGAGCGCTGTGTGACCTTACTTCCGAATTTATGAAGCTCTTACTTTATTCCGTCAACAATACAGAATTTGGTTCTGAATATAGCTCGTGTAGTTAAATTAAGTAATTCTAAAGAAGAAAAGAAAAAAAAGAGCATCAAATGAAAGGGCAATTGCACTTTCATTTATTTTAGAGCTCATTAAAACTATTGATTTTCTGGAAAGGACGAAATGCATGCAGGATCTTCCAGTTGCTAATAATTTAATGTGATTTATTAATTAAATTTTTTAAAGTGTCCCAATTCAATAATTTTTCAAAAATATTGTGCGGGTCTTTAGGATCTGCTCTGTATCTGTAGAGAACTTTTTTTATTATCATTAAAACGAATAAAGTCGAATTACAGTAATAGCTGAATGTAGCCTGCGATATTTTATAAAATCTGTAATATATTCGACGAAAACATTTTGAATTTCTCCTCTCAAAATTCGTCTCTGAATCCGCCCCTGGTACAATATAATGTATTCAGATACATGCAATCAATAAGGATTATAATATGGTTTAATATGCAGTATTACGTATGTAAGAAACAATATTACAAGGTCAAATAGAAATCTGACCAAAATTTACATCGAAATCGCAGGCGTATTAACCGAAGCGCAGTGTATTTTAAATGTCGCAATGACACTTCCAGGAGTTTCTGACATCCACTGATTGTAGCCTTTGACGTTGAAATAATGCACTGCTGTAAGAAAAAATGATACGTTAACATTTTCCCAAACTGATAAAATGTTTGTTTCCGGCAGTTCGTAATGATTTCCAAGAGTAATTATTTTAATTTATTTATGAAATAATAGAAAGAGGGTTCATGAAATCTCAGAGTATTTAAAGATAAAAAAGTACACAGAATTCCATACTTTGATGTTGACTATTAAAAATTTTAAAAAAAAAGTTTTTTAAAATGAGAAAGTGTGAAGGAACATGATGTAAAATAAACCAATGATCGTGAAGACACATCTTAGGCCTGTGTCACATGAAAGTTGCCCTGACGCGCGTCACCTGACTGATGTGTGTTTGATTCCTGAGCACACGTCACATAATGCGCGTGCTAGATTAACGCTATCTTATGCGAAACGGCACAAGAGCGCTCTTAGCGTCATGCGTTCTGCTCACAGCTGAAGCAACACGCTCATGCTACAACGTAAGTCTAAAGAAAATGCGTTTTCTAGCTAGATCCGCTAGAAGACTAGAATTGGCAACAACGCACGTCGCCAAGAACGCTAAGATAGTGTTAATCTAGCAGACATCGACTCCTGTACTCGGGTAACGACGCAGCTGTTACAACTCGTATCAGCATTAGGTGACGCGCGTCAACGCACCGCTCATGTAGTACAGACCTAATCAATGTGTATTGGTAGAAGAATATAATTTATTCCTTTTTATATACAGCTGCAATGTCATGAAATGAAACTTTGTGTAGGCCTAGCTGCTCTATCTTATTCTTTTTTCCCTTTGTGCCGTTCATCGCCGGGACACTTTATTTTCACATTTGAACCTTCTAGTCTTCATAGAACATTTCCTAACTATATTATTGTACCATTTCAATAGTCTTTCTGTTATGATCATTTTTAACAAGGTGGTGGGAAAGTGCAGCGGTAGTACCAGTTTTGTGCAACACGAAGTGCTTTCAGACAGTATTGTAAATTGCGGAAAAATTGAAAGTATACTATCTTAAATGCAGGGTATTTATCGGGGTGTTCTAAACCTGCTCACATGCCAAGGGAGGCAATAACCCACAAAATTTAATTAATAAATGAATTCATTAATTTTAAATTACTTAAATTTAATTATTCATTAATTCTTAATAATTAAATTTAATTGTTTTAATAATATGCATCTGTTTTCTTAGGGAAAAATTTGGTTTGTATCATGTTGACTTCAATGATCCCAAGAGAATACGAAGAGCCAAGACATCAGTTAATGTGATAAAGCAAATAATCACATCTCGACAAATACCTCAAGACAAAGACTTAATTGAAAACTGATCCAGAAGTAATTTTTGAATGTTGTGCTTTTCTTTTGATGTATCTGATCTTAGATGAATAAAAACAAAGTATACAAAAAATAATTTACAGGCTGAGCAGTCACTAGAAAAGGAATCCTTTAAATATGAACTTCAGACAATATGATTTGCTGCTAACAGTCTTGATGTTACCAATGACATTTTGGTATGAAACAAGTTTCAGGAAATGACAATTTGTGAAAACCAGTATATAGGATTCATGGCTGATTGTGCACATTTTAATTTTCATTATGTGTTACATTAAAACCTGCTAAAAAAAAAAACTATCCATCCACAAAAGCTGATATCTTTTCTCTTCCTTTTTACAACAACTAGGTCCAGTTAGATTTCAAAATTACTTTAAATGTGTACTAATATCATTTTATAGCATTATTCAGCACAAGACATTACCTGCACAATAATTTTGCACACTCTTGACGAAAGTACTGGATTCTCTGGGAAGGTTCTCACAAGTCAGTAATATAAATCTAAATTAAGATTTTGCATACTTTCAATCAAAGCTTTAAAAATGCTTGAATGTTAATAAAACTTCATTATTACCCTTGTTTCTATTCTCCAATTTAATTATAATTTTAGACCAACTTGTACATGGTTATCTAACTTGGAGCTTTCGTACAAAAAAACGCACACAGTAACAAAGCTCACCATTGGATAGTCACATACACCTGATCAAATGTTGCAGGTCACTATACTTAAATTTGAGTATAATTATGCACATTGTGGAGCCATATTATAGCACCACACAGAATGCACAATTTAATTTGAGTGTCCATTTTTCTTGATTTTATTAGACAGTGAATTTAATCCAAGTCATTTCTTTCAGAATTTCTTAGTCACGAATGCATATGGAGCAATTCACAGAATACTAAACAAATCAGCATTTCAACAAACAACTAAAATTTATCCAAACCTTGTCAGTTATTACACTGAAGATTTGGAAGCGAGTTACTGATATTGTGTAAGTTATAGCTTACGCTGTTTGTTGGAATAGAAAAAGGTTTTTAAGATAAAGAAAAATTCCTAATTAATATCATATTCAACAGTCTACCATATAAGAGGAAAAAAATAAGAAATCTTTGAACAGGTTACTCCTGATTTGTTGATTCTTTAACTTATACAATAATTCTGTCAACAGCAAAATTAATTAGATCGCTGGTGAGGTAGATACCTTCTCTTATTATGATAAATAAAGGATGTTGTCTGGTTTTAATAATTTTATTAGGCTTATGATCATTTCGATCGCATAGTGCTCCAAGGATCACTATGCGATCAAAATGATCTTAAGCCTAATAAAATTATTGATACCAGACATCCTCTATTTATCACAACAGCAGAATGTTCAGTTAATATGCACTGCCATCATATTGAACCAGAACTTTCTCCACAATGTGAAATTTGAATTTCCATACCTAATTACACAGCATAAACATTGTGCCCACCATGCTCTTCACACAACTGTGTTCAGATGTTAGGTACAAAATATCAATAATAAATGCATTTCTTATCAAAACTATAAGTGTTTATCACTTTACATTGCACAATTAAACATTTTGCACATCAACAAATTACCAAATTATACAAAGATGCAATACACAGGAACATTTGTTTCATGAATAAAAAAATTATACAGGATGAAGTATTTTATAAGATGACATAAATAAGAAAATATTTGGATTTTATGTTAACTTTGAGAGACAAATTATCCAAAGTACTTTAATTTGGAGACTATGTATTCAGCATAGCAATTATTCTCTATGTACAGTGATATTTCATAAAAACTACACATTTTGTTAACAGATCGTTACTGCCAAAGCAAGCTGAAAAGGAAACAAACAAACAAACATTAGAACAATTAAATGTGTCAATTGCCAGGTAAGGAGCTAGATAAATAGTAAAACAGCATTAAGCAGTTCTATTTATGATTTAGAGATATAATACTTTTCAACATTTTAAAAATGTCAATGATGATCTAAATTCAGAAATAGAAAAAACATAAAACTATTCTAATTTTTAGGAAAGTTACTTTTATTTTAAAAAGCGTGCCATAGTATATTAAGAGGTGATTGAGACATTTCAAGAAGGCAGCATCATGGAGAAAAATATCCTTGTTCACTTAAAGTACCATTCAGGATGCTTTCTCTGTGTATGCAGTTGATTAGAATATTTCTGAGTTAAAGATTCAGTATTGGACGATAAATTATACTTACTTCAGTAAAGATAATTCAGGCATACCAGCATCTGCGCCTTTTTTAAATCCTGTAATAACAAAAACATGACTTGCATCAAAAGTACACTAAATAATGTACTTATACAAGATAAAAAATAACAAAGAAATATTAGTATAAATAAATGTATCTGATCACAGAAATACTCAAAAGTATATATTAAGTCACAGCAATTTATAAATAACCTTTATTAAGGTTATGCATAACAGAATGGTACAGCAATAAGGAGAAGATATAAAAATTACAATACAATGCCATACAATTAACATGTTTTTTATTAAAAAGTAAATTACTTCACAAAAACATTTTTCCACCTTCAATTTAAAAATAAAACTTTGCACTAAGAGAAAAATAATCAACGATAATGCACTTTATCTATACACAAGAATTTTTGGCACAAGCCTGTACATTCAGTAATTAATGAACATAAAAACATAGCAAAGAAGAAATTAATACTAGATCAAGTTTATAAGTGTAAAATCTGAATAATCAAAAAGACATAGTAATTTACTTGTTACAATGACCACTGCAGATGCACAATAGAACAACCAACTGTATCCCCATCAAAGATGCAGCCTTTTTAGATGCAAAAATGTGTTAATACACTACCATATTTTGTGAACAAATTTGCATAATACATTTTAATTATTCAATTCATTCTATTATACCCTATTGCACTACTTTTCTAATATCTTGGAAATTAATTTAATAAATCTTCTGAAAATATGAATTCAAATCTATTTTTGCACTTCAGGAAGTTATAATTTCATTCTTAGCGTTCATAAATGATCGGGCAATATACATATTAGTTTTGGTATTATAAAGAACGAATAAGCGGCTATCAAACTGTCATCAACGCCAGTACAGATGGAGAAGTTACACACATTAGAAATCTAATAGCTTGAACTGACACGACATGAAAACTGCATACCAATAGTATCAACACTAAATAATTCTTCTAGGCACGTGTGGACCACCACCAGACATTCCGTAAAATAAAAAAAAATTAAAAATTACCAACCGTGTTGGGATATGCACAAATTGGAAGCAAGGAACAAATCAATAACAAAAAGCATATGATTTAATATTAATCATAACTACTTAGTAAGTGGTTGATATTATTTACCTAAATACAGCACTGTCGGAATGAACCCCCAATGGAAAGCAAATTTAGACACGCCTACCACAAACGATACTCTGTCCTTCGTTCCTTGGCTCATTTGGACCATTTTGCTGGAAATTATTAGTTAAGTTTGTTCAACACGCCTGTCAAGCTGCAGACCACTGCTAATAAATCAATTCACAACGCCACCAAGCATACGAGAGTATACACAGAACAATTTCGCAGGGTACCGAGCACTCTAATCAACTCTAATACGCACGACAACGCACAGGGCCCTATAACTCCCATATAACGTGGTGGAGACCATTACGGTGGCGCGCTCTGCTGCATCACCTTCTTTACATGAACTAAAATACGAACTGTTGCCAACGATACTTTTAACGTGCGTGGCTACTGCGTGAGTTCGCGGGTCGCAAGCAGGCCCATAATGTTGCAAAAGATAACGTATATGTTCGCGCATTCTTCAGAGGTTTCTTATAAGTATAGATTTTGGATAATAGTACATTTATAAGACACTTTTCGTATTTCTCACAAATTAGCAAATTTGTATGTGGGAAAGTTGGCGAGCCTAACCTGCAGCTGCACCCGGCGACACTAGCGCTTCCTACAGTAGCAACCTCGAGCTTTGTCCCCAGTTTTGGTGGAGAGTTGCCGGGCCCTGACAACGCATGCGCGCTCTGCTCATATGCGAAGGCGATATCACAATTTTGGCCTGCTGTAGCGCTGCTGTAGACTCGTGCTTTTGTAGGATCATGAGCAAAGAGTACTATACATGTATACTCCTTGAGAAAAGCTTTTGCTCGTGCAACGAAACCAAAGACAGTGAGTCACGTGAGACAATGGATCAGTCTCGCGGGCTATTCACAATTTAAAATGACGACGCCGCGCCGGGGCCTTTCAAGAACATAACCAGAACAAAACATGTGCAGGTAAGGATGGAGAAAGTATTTCAGGAGAGAGACAATTGGAAGACATTAAAACATTACTGCCAATAAAACTAGTGGTGCTACAAAAGCACATACTTCCTCGCATTGTTTCTAAATGATCCGCAACAATATACTACTACATAAACCAGCAAAAGTGCTTTCAAGTAGCAAATTATTTTTCCGCTCCGAGATTCGAAATCAAAACCTTAATAACGTTAACGTGAAGACACTTATATCACTACGACACAGAAACGACGCATGGGTCGAACTTGGCATAAAAAGGTAAAGGCAAAAAAATCAGGGAATATCAATTTTTAAGAAAATCAGTTGAACAGCTTAGGCACTAACATTGGCCCCTGGTGGACGTTTTGCCGTCAAAAGATTATTCAGTATCACAGTAATTATTTGTGTAACAAGTCCTCTAAATGATTCTTTAAGGACGATGCCGGAAGGTTAACTGCGAAGGCGGGGAACAAATTGGTCATGGGGGACAAAAAAGACAATGGGAACAAATGTAACAAACGGGACATATTTATCCGAAGATTTATGAGCACTGGTAAAATCAGAACCCGAAAGTTCGCTACAATATTTTTAATGCAATTTTTAACGACGTTGCAATTAACGCTTTGACTTTTTTTAAACCTACTGAAAAGTGATTTGTTTATAACTAGAAAATTGTTTTCAATCTTAATATTTTCAAATTGTTATTTTTTAATAAAATCAATGTTATGAAGTACTTTGATTCAACTTTCAAGCATTTTTAATAAGAATTGAAAACTTTTAATTGATTTAATTGATTCATAGACATATAATCTATGAAATTATTTTTAAGTTCTTAATTGTTCCTTGTAAATAAATTTAAAAAATGTTTGTTTGTTTTTTCGAAAAATAAACTTTTAAAGACACCAGCTACCGTCCAGATGTGGCTGACCAAATTTGTGATCAAGCTCAAAGTTGTGACGAAAATTTAAATGGCGGTCACGAATTGTTTTTTTAATATTTTATATAGAATTCGGTACAAATTTTGTGTGTTATCTAGGGGCACCGTTCCCAATCTGTGAGAGCGCCTATCGTAATGAAGTGCAAGTCTTTTTTATATGAGTGATCATCAGGTTTTAATTTTGTGAGCCTGTGTCCCAGAGGCTCTCAGGTTGTGTGTCTGCAAAGTGCGCCCTCCTGAGGGTTGCGTCCCTGGCGGCCATCCGCCTCGCCAACTCCTAGCTACGACGCTGGCGTCATACGATAGCATGGCTCGAAGGAATGGCTTGTTTGCCATTATATACGTGCTATTCACGTGTTGCATTATGGAACAGCAATATTTGACGATCTTGGTGTGCAAAGAACTGTTGTATTATGAAACTACATATTAAACTACGTTATTGTACTATATGTGAAGATTGTTTTTGTTAATATATTTCATTTACTGCAGTGTTGTATAAAAGTATTTTACTTGTTGCGCAATATTGAGCAAGGGGCGGGCTACTTTTTGGAAAACACTTCGTATGGTTTTGTTTAACAGCAGTGTTGCTGCTTCAGACTAAATGCCTATCTTGCTAATTTCTAATGCGCGTAAAAAGGAAGGAAAATCTACGCAGCCTCTGGCCGTATAGGAGGTGTCTTCGATTTTGTGAGATACTACACAGGAAATAGCGAAAAATTATGAAAAATAGCTCGTCAACAGCAATAGTGGCAGAACTCAAAAAATACGAATTTTGAGTTAATACTCTCTCCAGAATTGCTGACTGGTTTACTTTCCAACAGCATATCTTACAGTACAGTTTCCACCAAAAAAGACAGAAGTATGAAAGCAACATTAAGCATTTCAAAATGAGGTGAAAACTTTAAGCTAATTTATCTCAAAATCGAATGTTTTGAGTCGTGCCACTATTGCAGAAAACGAACTATAATACTAATTTAGAATATGCGCAGAAATGGAAAGAAAACTCTGCAGTCTTCGACCAAATAAGGGATGGTTATGATTTTGTTAGATACCCGGGAACTCGGTAAAATACAAAAACAATTTTCGATAACTTTTTAAAATACTTCCAGTGCCTATGAGCAGCTGAAATTTTGTTCCAGCCTCAGCCATGAGAATTACCTATGGATGGTTAGATTCCCAGGAACTCGTCATTTTATATTTTACTAATATAGAGAATCACAATACTTTCTTTTCTAGCAAAGAGGAAATAAAAGACATGGCTATGAAAATGGAAAATATTTCGATTGTGGTAAATAATAGTAGTTAATGCAATTATTTTATAATGTTACACTTAATTGCTCGAGTACATGTTTTGAAAATGAGCGACTTTAGGAGAAAGTTGCACAAGCTATTTTTATATAACAGTATTATAAATTTATAAGCGAATCAAACTTACTTTTGCGAAACATGTTTCTTATGACGTCTCAGGTATTTGACATCTCTGCGAGAAAACGATGGTCGACTGTTCCGTTTACTGCTATCACCCCGCGATTGGCTGAATATGTGATGACGCATTCATTCGTGCAGTAAAATGCTAATAGGTCATCATTTGTGCTCTTTTATGCTCTTTTATGAACGACTTCTTGCAACAAAAAAGTATTTATAATACTGGTAAAAAAGTATTTTCAATGCAAATGAGATTTATAGCACTTCAATCACATCTGGAATTGTTTCAAATTGTGACAAGTAACCCGGTAGACGTTCTGACCTTCATCTCCCTCTTTCTCTTTCCCTTTCTCTCTTCGTCTCTCTCTCCGTGTCTCTCTGAGACTGTCTCTGGCTGACGCTGTTTCTGTATATCTCTCTCTGTCTCTGCGTCTCTCATTCACATTAAGCTGCAAATTATGCGCGTCTCTGAACAGGAGGGGTAATATCGAAAAGCGTCGGATCAGCAAAAATTTAATAAAATGTTCAAGATCTCACCCTGTCAATTATAGTGTGAGAAACGTTTCTTTGAGGCTTGGCCTCAAACATTTTCGTTTTCAATGCCATAGAACGCTTCGTTTAAGAGTTATTTAACGATGTAGAGTCAAAAATGCTGCAAACTGATGCGTGTTGTATTTGATATGAATTTATATTTTTGTTCTACAGCGCCATCTAATAAAGTTACAACAAAATTACCAGCTCATAAACCTGGGTGTAAAACAAAATTAAAAACGTAGATGTGACAAACTTTCATGGAAATCGGTCACACGGTGTCGGGTCGGAGCTCACCGCTCTTATATATAAGAGCGGTGATATGATTATATATATATAAACCATTATGTCTATTATTTTAAACATTTGGAATATTAATTAACAAAATGATGCTTATAATACATTTTTGAACAATTATTATTCTCAATAGGTCATGCAATAATTATCCGTTGTATATGCCATAATTTTGTCACTAGTGAATATGTGGAAGTTTGACTTCACATAACCAAAGACGTTAAAGCATTATAGGCCCATCCTGACTGGTTTATTGAAGCGTCAATTTAATTCTACGTAGATTTCGAGGTTTTACGTGATTCTGGCCACTAGCGCATGCTTCGAAGTGGATGTAATTATCTAGAAGAACTAAGTCTGAAAACGTGTAAAAAGGAGGTATCAAAGTGTCATTTTGTACGACAGTGCTTCAGAAAACCCACTTCACACTACCCTTGGTCTCCTGTGTGTTTCCGCGCATTTCCCTTCTATATTCTTCTAATGTTATTTCATGTATTTTTCGCACGTTCCCTGTTTTCTCCCAGCATGTTTCCCGCTAGTTCCTTATTAGTTTTCCCGTATGTAGTTACTTACCCCACCTCCCACGTTTTCCCAATTTACCCTGGCGTCAATAGCCGAACTGCTTAACCTTGCTTAACGGAGATTAAGAAGCTCGAGAGTCCGACGGTTCGTGGAAGGTGACCCTTTGGGAACCCCGTGTACTAATGGGGCCGAGTTTGTTGGCCGGTAGGGATTTCAAGCAATGGCGTGACAAGAATGACTATGAATCAAGGAGAATTACTCCATGAGACTTATGACTATTAAAGGAGAAATATTACATGTTCAATGACTAATAAGTCTTGGGAACTTTAATACAAAATTAATTACAATGCGCGCAGAAATTTATAGTAAACTACGCAGCCGCCTGCGAAGTATGAAATGTCAATTGCTTAAATTGCACGCCCGTTATTGCTAAATAACTATTGCTATTTATAACGCGTTTTATTAAAGAACAGCAACTTATTTATAGTCTCCGTACTGTGTGTAAAAAACCGTAGCCTCAACATTTTCAATTTTTTTTTTTTATCAAAATGCCTCCAAATGTATGTAAGTTGTTCCTCGGAGAGTGCAAAGAACACTTAAAAAATGTTGTCGGTCTCGTCTCAAATCTCTTAATTTTCAAAATTTGCAAAAGTTCAAATTTATTTCGATGTCTTCCTATTCAACAATAATGAAGATAGAATTTCCCCCTTAATTCTGTTCCTTAGATAGATTTTGAAATAATATTAAGTACACTTTTCCGAAAATGTGAGAACTTTGAACGTAATGTTGCATTAATAATAGGTGATCTTTGAACAGTAATTGTCTAAACAAAAAGGTACAAAACTTTTACTCAATTTTTTTCTCTCGGATATCCCAAATATCCGCAAAAAAAGGTACTGGTTCTATTTGCGGTAAACTCTCTGTATACTTAATTTTTATTTCTTGGCGCATGAGGACCTGTCTTCACGATGGAATATCTCACGACATTTCGCGTCTTTCTCGGTCATGCCGCTCATGTCGCATGATCGCGACCGCATCGAGCGGTGCTGATAATATGACATCTAGCGGCACAGCCGAGAAAGGCGAAATGTCGTGAGATATTCCATCGTGAAGACAGGTCCTCATGCGCCAAGAAATAAAAACCCAAGTAAAATTTCGAAAATTGCTAACATTGTGGTAAAAATACAATATTGGCAAGAGATTTTTACGTTCTCGTCCTTAGGGTCTGTCCATAAATAACGAAATGCAAATTTGGAGTATTTTGAATACCCCTCTCTTCCCCCTGTAACGCACCCGTAACGCGCGATTGGACCCGCCTAAATAATTATGAAACGCTTGAACCCTCCCCCCCCCACCTTGTAAATGCAAGGAATTGAATTAAAATATGGCTCAGTAAAATAATTGTATTCATTTTATTTGTGCTGTGAATTAATAATTATGATAATTAAAGTCGGATTTAGTTGTCGATGCTGACTGCACCTAACAATAAGATATGGGCAAATTTTGAGTGAAGGAAGGATTCACAGGACAGAAAATTTCTGATCACAAGCCATGCACACGCCGCGCGGCCTTTGTCGATGGTTCATTTGCGAAAGTCTACTGCACCAAATTAATTGTATTGTACAAAATACTACAAATCAGTTTTCAATATTTTCATTGTAATCTTACAGATTCAATACAAAATTGATAAAAAATATTTCCATTTATTGTTACAACTTTAAATTATTTCTTAATAAAAAAGAACATATGTTAATGTTTTTTTATCAGCGATAAAAAAAGAAAGTATTCCAACAAAAGCTAAAGTGTATCAATGTTACGCGAAACAAATCGAATACCCCGTGCCCATGTATAACGCAGCGTAACACTGCTTCAATCCCCCTTCCCCCATCTTTGGCGTTACCTAATTTATGAGTGACGTCTATGAAGAGAGAAGTTATGTAATGTGCACCAAGAAACAACAAATGTTTAAAAACAAGAAATTTTGTAAAAATTAGATCTTTAAATATGATTATGTACAATTTTTTTAAAAAACAAGTAGTTTTGAGTTTTTTCTTTATAAACAAAATGCAATTTGGAAAAGAAAAAAATCTCAAAATGCCTCCAAATCTTTTGTTGACATTTTTTCCTCAAGTGAGCAAAGTACACTTAAAAGAATAGCACATTTCTCATTTTCATTGTTCTCTCTGACTTAGCAATTTTCAAATAGGTAAGAAATAGTATGAGAAAGTGTGAACTTTAGTTGTAGCACCATTAATTTTTGTTGGAAATAAAAATAAATTTGGAAATACATCCAAATATGAAAACATTTTTTTTTTTCAATTTTAAATGGAAAATGGTATTTGAGTTTGTTTTGTGTTAGTGAGGGATTCACATTTGAAAGTGAATATAATAAGCAAAACAAAATCAAGTTTTTAATCAAATCATCAGATTTATGTAAACCTAGAAAGGGTTATAGAACAATATGAAAAGAAACACAAATTCAAAAAGCTTAGCCAAAAGATTTGAAATTTATTTTCAGTATTCAACACACCACCTTTCTTATTTTTAAACATAACAATACAACAATTACTATACTAAGGTCCTGCAATACAATCCATTTTTGCCCAGTGCACATCTTTCACAACCTGCCAAAAAAACCAACAAAAAACACTATAACAAAAACATAAAAATAAAAACAAAACAAAAAATCAGAAACAATGAAGTATGTCATAAGCCAAAAAATATTATTTAAATAGTTAAATAATAATTAAAATTCTTTATCCAGAAGATTTACTTTGTATTGGTATTTTTAGATAATTACAGCACATTTATTCTAAGAACTAATACAACTGACATGTATGCATGGATCTTCCTACAGCAGAAAGAATTTTGCTATGTTTATCTACAGTTCATTTGCAACAAATGAACAAAACATCAGTATCCCTTCTCACTTCACTCCATAAATTTGCAGGCAAAACGGGTTGAAAAGTGTAAGAGGTTGGGTAATTTGCAATAAACATATTGAAAAATTGTGTTTATTACCATATCTAAGGAGAAATACTGTTTTATTCATTTAAAATTTGTTCACCTCTTGTTTTGCAAAGAATGAGATCTTCAAAATAGAATCATGACTATGATTAAACTTAAATATCAATGTGATATCACATTACAGTCTCATATATATAATATATAACGGTATGGATTTTAGAGCAGTTTTAAAACTTCACCAGGAAGTGGTATTCAAATATTTGTAAACATTTTTCTTACACACAAACAAAATACACGAAAAGAATAAATGAGGAAATTGTATACGTCGAGGTTTTAGTAGAGGTCTTATAACAGTATTATGAAATGAGAAAGTGAAGAGAGAAAATAAAGGGATAAACAAAGCCAACTTTCCAACATAAGCATGCATGAATAATCAGTATACAATTTTTTTTCCATTTTGCATATTTATGATGCATTCTTTGGCAAGTTGATATGTATATCACAGACAAAAGTTTGTAAGCTGAGGAAATTTCTTCTTTCCACCATCTGGTAACATATTCCTTCCTCTTTCACTACATCTGCCAGGTGAATAGAAGGAATGATCAATCATAAATTGGATAAATGAGAAGGGACACGAGGAAAATTGAAGTGCAATTAGGCCAGGATTTGAACATCAGAGACCTCTCAAATGCAAGGAAAGTTAGCTAAGGCTAATTCAGTATAAAAGTTGTTTTGGTGTCACCAATACTATCTCATATCATATCACAAGAAATGGGCCCTCTTTTGCCTACACAGAGACACGAGTAGCAGACACAGGTATAGTACAGGAACTGTATATCTAACCCAAGAGTATTTGTATATTTTATTTCTTTATAAGGAGAAATCTTTTAGCACCACATTTTAAAAATATTTAAAAGGGCTCCAACTAAAATGTGTTTTTTAAATTCTGTTTCTCAAATTATTTTTTCTCGAGAATATTCATATAGAAATTTTTTTAGAAAAAATGAAGTACAAATTCCTGATTCAGTTTTGGAGTATCATCTCTGCATCCAGACTAGCAAGTTTCACACGAGCTGACTAAAAAAACAACAAGAAAACAATCATAACACACTTCCATGCCATAGTAGCAAATTTTATGCAAGGAAAATAGGTTTTATATCACAATAAACAAAACATAAATTTGGAATTATGATATACAGGTAATGTAGCCTGGAGAAAAATATTTTTTTGTAGTCCATCTGTCTATTTACCACAAAAATACAATAATGGGGAAATATTTACACTCTGCAATGTGCCCATTGTGTATAGTAACAGCAATATTTATTATTGCAGTCAATCAATCTTATTGATCTGACATACTCTTGAAAATAATGGTCCAAAGCAATACATTTTTCTCTTTAGAAATCTCCAATACATGAACTGACTACAGAAACACTGTTAGAGAAAGGTAGAGAGAGTGATTGCCTTCTTAAGTGTTAATACTCGTACATATTTTGTAGATGGAAAGTGGTCCATTTCATCATGGTAAGAAATTATAGATTAGTAGTTGAATAAATTTTTGTGTATGAACTGGTAGTATATAAAGTATTATGTACTCATTTGAGCACAAATATCCACAATACATGATGTACATTTGTTTATGGAAAGTTCATTGAGAACTTGCATTGTAGAAGAAACACTTTTGACAGACATGCTGTAAATAAAAACAGCAGAGATATATACAACAAGCATTACATATTACACATTTCAAAAAAAAAAAAAAGTCATCACAACATCCCTTAGGCATAAGATTTGTACAATGCATAAGTGCATCACATATTTTAATTTTAAAAATTCTATACAATATATAACAGCAACATGTCCATTAATTTGTACCTACACAGTGACATTGAATACTAATATCTTATTGTATTAAAACTTAAATAATGTCATTTATTCTATACTACTGCTACATTAGTAGTCAATTTAGGAAAGACAATTACATAGCGAGTTATATAAACAATACTGATCTATTATTTATTATATGCATTGCCTATTACATACCCTGTATTTAAATTTACAACCAAAGACGAAAAAATCATGAATACAGGGTTAGAAAAATAGTTTTCTTCACTTGTACTCATAGAAACACTTTTAATTATACTCTTCTATTGTAAAGAGGAGCTGCAATATTTGTCTTTTGTAGGGATTACCTCTGTATGCAAGCTACTACACAATTTCTCTACGGTTTTGCACATTTCCAGCAATATATCTATTTATTGGGGGTTTACAGAGAGCTGAAGAACATCTGAGTACAACTGGTGGGCACCAGATAATTTATTCTATACACTAAACAAGTCTGATATCTTAGCCATTACTTTTCAAAATGAACTATAAATATGGAATATCTATGACTCAATGTCACATACAATCATTCTATTCATTCACACTCTTGCATACATTTTTATGGCTATCTTATGCACATTACATTAATTAAGCCTGCAAGGCACAATAACAGTTTTTAGGTCCACAGTCATTTTAAAGTTTTTTTAAAATGATTCTAATGTTAATGTTTTTTTAAACCTAATATCCTTCATTTTTCTCCAAAGAAATACTTTCCGAAATCCAGGAGTTAGATCTTGTGCTGTTCGTTGGTGATAAATTAGCATAATTAACACTTCCTTGTTCAATATTGGAATTTGATTTCTTCAATATACTCTTCGGCTTTATTTCATTAGCTGGGCTCAATGATATTGGTGATGTTGGACTTCTACGAGCTCCTGAAGACTGGGCATCAATACTTGGCCGTTTGCAACAAAGGTTAAGTTTTCTCTGATTTCTTATACTTGGGGACCTCTCTTTATTGTTATAATTTCCAATCATAGAAGCTGAACTGAGTACCTGTAAATGTCAAGTATTCAATTTTAACATTTAGGCCTACAACATGTATGTAAATAGTCTATGTTTTAGCTTACAATAGACCAGCAACTGTATTCAAATAAATGTGAGGAAATGTCTTCTATTCAAACTAAAAGTCCTATTCATTAATATTAATCTTAATCTCTTATTTCTGCCAAATTCACTAATTCTTCAAAATACTTGATGAATTACCTGAGCTATTGCCTGTTTGCAACATTTTTTACAGGACTCCAATAAATCAATTTGTCCTCTTAAAACCCTGACATCCCAACTGTAGTTCTCTTGAAGTTTACTGTACTTCTTGCCTTTAATAGCAGCATTGTTGGCTAAATTTGGTAAATCTTCATAAAATTCTAGTAGTGCAGTTAAACTGTTGTTCAACTTTTCTGTTAGTCGATCACTATTATCTATCATGTACTGGAATTCAATTATTGTTTTCTCAAGCATGGCAACTGTTCGATGAAGATGCGTAGGCATATTTGTTGCATCAACTTTCAACATAGGAAGCTGAAACAAGAAGATAAACAAATTTTAAAGAACATTCGGTACTACAAAATTTATACAGTTATTTATACATTAGATCGATGATACGAAAAATAAGCAAGTGTACATGTTTTATAATATAAATCAGGAAATGGGAATGAATTCTCAGAGTAATTCTCACAACTCATTTCTATTTAAGAAAGCATTTGGAGAAGCCTATAGGCCTACCTAAATATCAGGTTGTTTCCATATAGGCCCTATGCATAAAATGAAACTAAATACTTGATAAAGTTAGCAATTACTGGTGAAATCAATACGTTTGATGATGTAAGTATGAATATATTTTATAAACTTTTTAATTCATTTTCATTTTAATTAATTTCTTCGTCATCCATTTTAATTCAAAATGTGAGTAGTTTTTGCGTTAAACAGGCAATATGTAAATGCTTATTTTCTCAAAAATGGCTGCAAATTTTTTCTTTATTTTCCCCCTCGTATGTTGCAAAGAAGTATTTTTTCCCTCGGATGTTGAAAAGTGGTGCTGGTCCCATTTTCGGGAGTCTGGGTAATAAACAGGCTGTGATGGCAGAATTGTTTTACTAGGGTCCGTCAAGCCACGATTATGTAAGAAGAAACTTCGTGGGTTCTTGGATGGGTGCTTGTCAGGCAAGCCCGGGACCTATCGGTGCCTAGTTCTTTGCCGACGGGATAAAAGGTAATGACTGATGAAGACTGGTTATTGTTAAAGGGGGGTTTCTTAACTCCATGTTCAACGGCAGAATTTGGTTATAAACAGAATGTTATTACGAATTTTAACAAAAGAAAACGAGAAAATTGTTTAAAAATAGCAATATTGATAACGATTTTTCTGTTTAATGAAATCTGTTCTAAAAAATCGGTTCTTTAGAAAAGCTCATGCACATTAAAAAATAAGAGTAGTTTAGCGTAGATTTTTGTTAATCTTCGAAATAGGCAAATTCGAATTTTCCGCGCTTTATTTGCTAGTCTCTGCAGTATTTGGTGTCAGGTTGCAATACATACGCAACGCGACGCCGCTACTCAACAGTTTGGAATTCTGAGAATTCGTTCTCACTTTTGAGAGTTGTTTATTACTATATAAAATGCTGAATTAAATCTCCAATTCCTGTTGATGATTTTGACATAAGATTGTGATTTATAGCACCTTATAATCTACATTTTATGATGAGTTTTAGAAGTAATGACTGAGATTCGTTAATGACAGAAATGGCGGTATTGTAATATTACGTAACCGTTACTGAGGTGAGAAAATAGGTGCTGTAGGCACTGGCAGATTGAAGGGGATATGCCCCCACCCCTAAAAAAAGGCTTAGGGTTTTCGTTTACCTTCCTTTATTTGACAAAATTGATTAAATATTCATTTATGTTCGAATTATGAAATTGTTTAAACAATCATATTGTATGGTATCATATCTACAGTACATCAATAATATACGATACAATAACAAATATGTTCATAATTTAACAGAAATGTAAGATCCCTCTCTCTCCCCCAAATGATCGGCTGAATCGGGCTATTGGAGCACCTCTAATTCAACAGAAAAACTTTCATTGCTGGGCCACAGTAAAGAAAAATTGGATAAATCTTGTTATAAATTATTTCCTATATCACGTTATGTAGTCAGAATCAATGTTTTGTGGGTTGTAGATACCGAAACATCGAAAACGTCCGTCCGTCCGTCCGTCCGTCCGTGGTTAACGCTAGCGCCTAAACCGTTCAGATTGTTTTCTCCGAAATTGATGTTCCCCGATCAATCTGAAGATCGCTACATGCTCGATATTGAAATCGATATTTTACGTCATAGAAGAGTAGAAATCGTTAAGAAACTGCAACGCAGCAATGCTGAGTTTTTCAACAAAATACCATAGGAAACGCTTGTTCATCACGAAGGAACTGAAGAGAATAAGGATGTATTGTTTTACCACATGAAATTACTCATACTACCTTATTTAATAACGCTGTGCGACAATAAAATTTGCCGCAGTGAGATTTTTATGTAGTTCAGTGCCTTGATGACAATAGTGAACACCATTTTCGCTATCGCCTAAAACTTCTTCTGGAAACGCAATGGGCTGCGTTATGTTGTAATGGTGCTTATCACATTCTGTTATATTAGGAATATTATTGCCTAGAATTGGGAGTAAAGAGGGGAGCGGGAGATAGGCACTGGGGGTAGGTTAAGGGAAGATGAATTTTGCGATAGTAAGATCAATCGACAGTAAGATCACACAGTATCTATTCTTCAAGTGTGTAAATCCGCTAACGTGGAGAATGTTGTGTATGTTTTTGGGTACTATATACTCAACGTTGTCTCTGTTAACTCACCAAATCTTTCCTGTAATGTGTGTGGCGAGTTTACGACTAAGTCTCAAAGACATCCCGTTTCTCCAATCGCCAAAATGGCGTATGAGTTGTATTTTGAAACAAAGGTAGATGAGAGTGTGTTTGGTAAGCACAGAACTCTTGCTCATGTTGCTTACGCCATTTAAGCTGGTTGCATAGAACACACCCATGTATGCCAATTGCCCTACCACAGTTGTAGAGGGAACCTTGAGTCCACTTTACAGATTGCTACTTTTGTTTAACGAAAGTAACATATATCTCAAGTAAATCAAAACAGGAACTTTCTTAACAAAATCTGGAATCTGCAATGCGTCCAATTTTGCAGTCTCATTCTCTCCCAGTTCCCAAGTCATTAATGGAATGGACAATGAAAGATGAAACAGACGATGGTAGAGTCAAACCAACCGTTCACGAAGAACAGGAAGATCTTTATTACACGCCATCTGCAGCAGGGCTACAACAACAGGAAGAATTGAACTATTTTGTAAGAGATCAAAGAGGCAAGCGGAATTACTTGTGCCTCGTCTTCAAGAGAAGAACCAGTTACAACCAAACAAGAATTACATTTCGATAAAGACCACTTGATTTTTCTTTTTTTTCCTCAATGGCAGATAGTTTGGTATATTGTAATGGCATAAATGGGCTGCTTACAAAATTTGGGATGATTCACAATAAGCCCGTAAACGAGAAACCTTCGATTACAGTGATCCTTTACAGTGATAGTCAGGGTTTTCAATTTTTACTAACTAAATTTCCTGCGATTAGTACTGAAAAAATTATAGAAGGGATTTTCACTGGGCCTCAGATCCGTGACTTAATGACTGATATTGCCTTTGATCAGTTGCTGACTGATACTGAACAGACAGCTTGGGTTGCATTGGAAGATGTATGCAACATTTTTGGGGAAATGTAATGTCTGAGAATTAAGGGAGGACTGTACTTTAACAAGGCTATGGGATGCAACATGTCTCTGAAATTACATTTCCTTCATTCCCATTTGGATTTCTTCCCACCTAATCTTGCAAATGTGAGTGGCAAACATGATGAGCGATTTCTCCAAGATATCGGTGCCATGGAAAAACCTTATAAGGGAAGATGGGCACCAAACCTTTTGGGTGTATTACTGCTGGTCACTCCTACAAGAAGTATTACCATCCACCTACAAACGCAAAGTTTCCTGGAAAAGTTTCTAACTTTTAAGTATATTTCAAGATTTATTAAGCTTTATAGTACTGTTTTCATTTTATGTTTTGTAATACAAACAATTAATGATACAAATAATTTACTACAAATAATGTTTATCACATGATCTGTAGATTAATGCACTACAGATAGCTCCTGTATTGTTATTGTTTCTCGAAAGTGGTATATGTGACGTATCTTTTTCAGAACCATTGGCACGTTATGGAACATTTTTGATTTCATTTTTGCTATCAGCGTTTGTGATTTAGTAAAGAACATGTACTTCCATCTCGCGGCAAGACACGAAGTTCAAATTTGTTGCATTGTGTAATCAGAGCTGTGTTTACAATTTCCAATGTATTGATTTCACTACTAATTTAAATTTATGCAATTAAAACTGTTTATTTTTCAAAAAGGATATTTATTGAGTATCTTATAGAGGTCTTTACTTATGGCTTTTCGCCATTTCAGTCGGCTCATTTAGCGCCAACATCTTCAAACTCAATCAAGTCTCTTTCATGTATTAGAAAAGAAAAGTAATACTCATTAAATTGTCATTAACTCTTTTTGGTAAAGTGTTTCATTTTGTGAATATTGAATATTGCAATTGCTCTGCTGTTGTGGGGTAATTTCACCAGTCAACCTAAACATGTGTAGGAATGTCATTCCATTTAGTGAATAACGTGCTCTAAAAATATTGCATTAATTATTACATTTATATTTAAATTTAGTATCTACTCACACCTCCTCTCTCATGTATAGATATGTTTTGAACTTGCTGACATGCTGATAATCTTTGAAGAAGTACTCTTAAACATTGTTTCATGTTTGCTGCATCACTGAGTCCACATTCTGTTCGAAGATCATCCATTGCATTTTCTGTATCCTGTCGTACCTTAATAGCTTCTTCTACTTCTTGGGAAATTCCCTATAGAATATATTACAATTTTGATTAACAATAAATAGTATGTTTCTAATGGGAGCAAGTACTATAAATTCATATTGTTGAATATCCACTACTTACCCGCAGCATATCATCGATTTGTTTCAGGCCAATCATTCGCACATCAACAAGAATTTTCTCTGTTTTAGACTTCTTTTTAAACAATTTCTGAAAAAATACACATTATGAAAATGACAATAGTTCATAGAAATTATAACTCATAACAGTTTTATTTCTGTTTTTTTCCTGGTCACATATTGTGAAAACCAAAAGATTGTACTAATAATTTGGACAAATAAAATCTTAAAAATTAGTTTTAAAATAAATTAGTTCAGGTTTTAAAATAAAAATAATATTAATATACATTCAATTATAATGGTTAATCTATAGGTAAAAATATCATGACTGGCATGAGGGGTATTTCCTACAGAAGGTTCAAGATCACGCATGTTAGCATCCCTTATTCACTCATATTAAAGACTTCCTCAATAATGATAACGAAGAAGTAAAAATTTGAGGAATACATATTATTACATAAATATAGTAAAGTAAAGTTAAAGTTAGTGTTAATAATAATAGTAATAATAATAATTAATAGTAATAATAATAATTAATATTAATAATAGACAAAAGATTTTAAAACTAATTTCTTCTTGTACATTCTCGACATACTATGTTCTTATATAGTAAAGAGTAAGTATTGTAATACAGCAGAACATTTTTTGGTATCTTTCAGTGTTTCGATTTTTCGTTAAAAACTCCCCTTGTGCTTTGGTATTAAAACTTGAATAATTCTTCTTTCTAAATTCAGTACATTTCTTCATCTAACACGTATAGTCGGTGTGTTTTGGGGGTTATTGATACAGATAATAGGAGCTACAACAACACACACTTTCTCGCATATTTATAACGGCTGTACAGTATTATTTTGAGTGAACACAGTGTGCATATAAAAATAAAAACGGACAATATTACAATTTAATATTATAAAGCATGAACCTGCAAATGTGGTCCAACCACCAAACATTTTTTCTCAGCGCAGGGATTCGAACTCAGAGATTTGACACGCCGTTGATGTCAACCTCACTGCTAAAACCCGCCAATACGACGCTTTAAAAATTACATAATGAAATGGAAATCTCTAAAGTTTTGAAAATTGCAAATGAAAATGTTCAAGATCTAGTGTAGTGGTGCTACAATAGCATATACTTTCAATTTTTGGAAATTCTGTGAATTCAATGAAAATGTGACCTGATAATTTGTTTAAAGTTCTCTATCTGTAAAAAAAAGAAACATAATTGGAGGCGTTTTTGATGTATTAACTTCAAGCAGAAATTCCGCGAAAACTATTCGTCTTTTCAAAAAAATTGTACAAGATCAACTTTAAAGATCTAATATTTTAGAACAAATTTCTTATTAGAAGAAAACTTATCAATATTGCATTTGTGAAGGATTTTTTTTCCGCAAATTTGCAAAATACTTCTAGTTAACCTAAATTGAGACCTGCACCAGTTTTATCAGCGTTGCAACGCAATTTGAGAATCGTCAAAGGTTCTCAATCTTCTTCAAAGCACTATTTGAGAAAAAAATAGAGGAAAATTTGGAATGTTTTTCAGAAAAAATTTAAACTGCCTTTTCTGCAAGCCACAATTCAGCAAAATCAATTCATAATTTTGAAAAAAAATTATTATCTTATTTAAAGATCTAATTTTTTAGAACAGATTTTATTTAAGAAAAAATACTATCTTCAATATTATACTCTTGCAATGTTAAGTGTTTGCAATTTTCGAAAATACAGGTTCACCGAAATGAAAACATGCTCCATTTTTGTAAGCGTACGTTGCTCTATTCTAAAAAAGAATGCGGCCGCGTGGCCGCATTTAATGTGTTGGAAAAATAGATTTTATTAAGGAACAAGTTCTATCTTCAATATTGCCATTATGGAAGGTGCCAAAAGTTTTTCGATCTTTTGCAATTTCCAAATTTTAGACTGTTCAACGAAAATCTGAGCTGAGTCATTTGAAAATTAATAGCTCTACTAGAGAAAAGGAATAATTCAAAAATTTTGATCCCTTTTGGATAAAAAATTAAAATTGTAAAGACTTCATGTAAGTACTCAATAAAATTAAATTTTCCGTTTTAAATTCGCAGGGCCTCGAGTTTCTGTCAGATAAAACGGGGAATGTCATTTTTGGCATTGACCATCAACGGACGTTTTCCTGTATACTAATTTTTCGGTATCAAGGACAAACAAAATGTGGATTCTGAATACACTACATGATAGAGAAAGTAATTGACTATCTACAAGAACAAGATTTATCATATTTTTTGATAATAGAGCTCCGTAAGCTTTTTATGACCGTAGAGTTTTTTTTCTGACAATATCACCACCGCTGCAATACTCTTTACTACGCGTGTTCGTAGTAGACAAAAAACTAAAAAAGCAGCAATGGTTTGTTCCTTTGATTTGAAGAATGAAGAACAGACATATGAGAATGTTATGAAGAAAATTTTACAATGTCTTGATGATCAGACGAGAGAACACTGTTGCATTGTGAAGGTAGGGATCTTATTCTTTAACGATTATTCTCATCAATTCTAATTTAATTTGTTGCTACCTCGTAGCAGATCTAAAATAAGCATAAATTGAAGTAATAATAACATCTAATCAAATTACCCGATTTTCGATTTCGATTTTGATCTGAAAACAGCATTCCACTCGTTTTAATATTGAATTGACGCTATCCAAATAAACGAATTGACCGTTTTCCAAATAAAATTGCCAAAACTCATGTTTCATATTGCGTCTCATACTTCCGGCAAGAATTTCAAGTATGTGTGCGTGTAGCGTCCTACTTCCTGCATCCAATGTTGTATCAACCGTTCAAACAGGATGAATACGAGTGCCGTAAATGGAAATTTGGCAAATAAATTGTGACATCACGCGCCCACCCATTCCGCGCCGCTGCGCCTTCCGCCCTCCGGCAGCGTGCGGTGCGGCAGCAGCCCTGAAACTCGAGCGTTCAGGGTCATCTCAAGGGGCCGGTCTTCACAATCAAGACTGTCGTAGATGTGTCGGAAAAAGGTGTAGAGGCCCTATGTCTTAGACGCATGCGTTGATCACCTCTTCGAGCCCGAAATACGAGGGTCGGTCCGGATGACCGCGATCCCTAAGGCAGGAGTGCCGTTGCGATCTCGGATCGAATGATCGCGAGTTCGAGTCCCGCCTGGGGCATGGTTGTATTGTGTTCGTCCTTTCATCCCCTATTATTATCATCATAGCGTGTAATCCTCACAGTTACCATACCGCTACACGCAATAGTGGTCGCTAATGACCTAGAAGTTGATACGATCTTAAATTTAGAAAAAGGTTGAAATATTTAAAGAATTTCTTGAATCACACGATTTCCGTACATTTCAATCTCCCTCTACACAACAGAAAATGCTCGTGGCTAACTCTTCGTCAGCGCGCTCGCTTTCCTCTACGCGGCCCCGAGCGAGCGAAGATTATAGGGTGCGTAACCTTCCCTTAATTCAAGCACAATCCTTCTATAAACTAGGCAAAACTCCCAATTATCAAACGAGAATTAACAACAGATATCCCCTTCATTCATTTTATAAAATGTTCGCAAATTTGGAATAATACTAATCTGAGGTGCTTCCTGCTTCCTCTCCCAGTATATTTTTTATATAATTGTAATGTATAATTTTAAGTTATTGTAAGTTAGTATAAGATAGATTAAGACCATCAAACATTTTGCACAGTTAATATGTAAACTGAATAATGTAATGTCTACCAAAAATAAAATTACAATAAAAAAAAAAAACGAAATACGAGGACAGGCGTAGGAAATACCAGGGAAAAGAGGTCATCTCTTGGTTTAGAGGCAGTTCGCTTGAAGAAGGGCCTAGACAACAGTGTTCGCATACGTGAACTGACAGTGGTAGCATATATAATTAAAAATTTTAACTTTTATAATAGTTACGTATGCACCAAGGCCGTTATAAAGGTTATAACGATCCAACGGCGACAAAACGCCCGAGGGCCTTTGGCTCGAGGGCATTTTGTCGCCCGAGATCATTATTCGATATGTTGTGTCTGGATTGATGCAACGCGTCTCCAAGCCCCTTGGGGGGCGTAGAGCGCTTTGCTCTCGGTAGTAATCCTCCGTTAATTAGTGCGCGTCCTCCTCCATTGGAGTAATCCTCCATAACATTTTGGAATTGACCACCTGTATAAGTCATTGTCACGTCTCGTCGCAGTCAGTTGCCAAGAGGACCGCCAGGTAGCATCTCCGTGTACGCGCCTCCTACTACGCGCTCCTGTGACACTACCCAGCGGCCAGAATTGGGAAGGAATAAGGATAGAGATAGAGTTCAGTACACTTCACAGGGGTTGGAATAACCCTTGTGAAGTAGACGAACTCGTTTTGTTCGAACAAAAATTTCACATGACATTGTCAGGGAATCGAACCCGAACTTCATCGGTGAAAGGCGAGCAACTGCGCTCTGAGCACCCGAGACAGTTATAACCAATTAACGTCCTCTAGATGCAGAAAAGTATGCAGTGTATATCAAACTCCGTATCGTAGGAAATAACAAGCAATAACGTGTCAGTAAAAGCAATTATTTAAAAAATTAAATGTCAGTAAAAAATAAAATATTTTATTTTCATTTACAAACGAAACATCGAAAACGAAAATACGTTGAGCACAAATCATCAATGATAAGACAATATCAGCTTTCATGATTTTATAACACGTGTTAATGTTTTGAAACAAAACGTGACATGTATTGAAAATATCAACATCGTCATCGTCATCGACGTCGACATCGACATCGACATCGACATCGACATCGACATCGACATCGACATCGACATCGACATCGACATCGAATCCCTACTCTCGTCACTTATTATATCTGATTTTTATTTAATGCGAAAATTTGAAAATCTTCAAATTTTCTTGTTGCACTGAAAAATTATGTTATATTTTTATTTTGTGTTAATATTACATTTATATTATTTTATTTAATCTTCAAATAGTTTCTATGACACGTAATAACAATGCAATAAAACAAAAGCAGGTCCAGGATTATTACCCTGATGAGAAAATAATTTTAAAAATTCTTCATATTTTGATGATAACTAATTGTTCTGACGAAAA